ACAACACACACAACACACACAACACACACAACACACACAACACACACAACACACACAACACACACAACACACACAACACACATACAACACATACAACACACACAACACACACAACACACACAACACACACAACACACACAACACACACAACACACACACACAACACACACTACACACACTACACACACAACACACACAACACACACAACACACACAACACACACAACACACACAACACACACAACACACACAACACACACAACACACACAACACACACAACACACACACAACACACACACAACACACACACAACACACACACACACACACAACACACACACACACAACACAACACACACACACACACACACACACAACACCACACACACAACACACACACAACACACACACACACAACACAACACACACACACACACACCACATCACAACACACACCAACACAAAAACACACACACACACACAACACACAAAACAACACAACAACACACACACCACCAACAACAACACAACACACACAACATCACAAAACACACACAACACACATCACACAACAACACACACAACACACACAACACACACAACAACACAACACACACACACAACACACACAACACACACACACACAACACACACAACACACACAACACACACAACACACACAACACACACAACACACAACACACACAACACACACAACACACACACAACACACACAACACACACAACACACACAAACACACACACACACACACACACACACAACACACACAACACACACAACACACACAACACACACAACACACACAACACACACAACACACACAACACACACAACACACACAACACACACACAACACACACAACACACACAACACACACAACACACACAACACACACAGCACACACACAACACACACAACACACACAACACACACAACACACACAACACACACAACACACACAACACACACACACACACACACACACACACACACACAACACACACAACACACACACACACACACAACACACACAACACACACAACACACACAACACACACAACACACACAACACACACAACACACACAACACACACAACACACACACACACACACACAACACACACAACACACACAACACACACAACACACACAACACACACAACACACACAACACACACAACACACACAACACACACAACACACACAACACACACAACACACACAACACACACAACACACACACACACACACACACACAACACAACACACACAACACAACACACACACACACACACACACACAACACACACACACACACACACACACACACACACACACACACACACACACACACACAACACACACACACAAACACACACAACACACACAACACAACACACACACCAACACACACAACACACACAACACACACACACACACACACACACACACACACAACACACACACAACACACACAACACACACACAACCACACAAAACACACACACACACACACACACACACACAACACACACACACACACACACACACACACACACACACACACACACAACACCAACACACACAACACACACAACACACACAACACACACAACACACACAACACACACAACACACACAACACACACAACACACACAACACACACAACACACACAACACACACGACACACACACACAACACACACAACACACACACAACACACAACACACACACACAACACACACACAACACACAGACACACAACACACACACAACACACACAACACACACAACACACACACACAACACACACACACACACACACGCAGACACACATGATGTTACATGGTTGGCACCATGGTTGGAGCGACCAAGCCCGACGATGCTCACAGGTTTTTGAGCGGTACAGACCACGTGGCTGCAGCAACAAAGCCCGAAGCTGCGTATCGATGCGACCTCAGTTCGAGATGCATCTGCTTTGTGACGGGAAAAGGGCATGGAGATGTCAGAAGCATCCATCTGCATCCAAAACCAAAGGAGATGAGCTGGCCAAGACCAGTGTGATCTACAGGGAGCTCTCTGATGAAGCTTTCAGGAGCCGTTTCGGAGGAAAGTTCAGCAGGGCCCCTTGCGGGTTTCTGGGCTCAGTGCGACTGACATGCCGATGCCTTGCGAGCTGCAGGAACATAGCACTTGGAGGGACGTATTTCCAACTCGCCCACCTGGCGCCGCTGAGATGCAACAATCTTGCGGCTTCTGAACGCTTTTCGGAAGCCAGCTGCATGTTGCCCTCTTTTCGGCAGGCACTCCAACCCAATTAGTTTGCCAGCCCGACTGTCTTTCGACTTTCAAAACTGCTTCAGCCCTCGCCCCAACCCCCCACTTACACGATCTTCGCGCTCTGCATACATGCAGTTTCTACGTGTTTCACGGTATCTGCCAGGAGCACATGATGTGCTGTCAGCTAAGGTACAGACCACCCCCTATATGCAGCGGGGGCCTCAGCTGAGGGCCGGGTGTATAGAATGGCGTAGGTTAAGACGGATGGGGTCTAATGTTGCAGAAGATGGTGCCTGGTTATGACGCCTGGCCCGGTGCATTCGTTCACCTTCCCTGGCATCTGGGTATGTCCTATCCTGCCAGGCATGGCTGTAAGTCCAGTTCCTGGACTGCTCTTGGCCATGGCAATGCTGCAGGCAGGTGCCCCGCAGGTATAATCTGGCCAATTTGTGGAGGTTCCGAACAGACCTCGTTTGCAAGGTTGCCGCCTGGCTCTGAAGGCAAATTAGCCGCCGGAAGTGAAGACGTGTATGTTTTGGGGCGCTGGGCCGTGCAAAGCTTCGGTCTTGTCAGCCCACTTAGCAAACCGATGAGATCTGCCATGGCAAAACTGCGCATTGTCACGATTCAGCACTCCTGTGGTGCTGTTGTTCCCTCGCGACGCGCCCTCAGGGTTGGGTGCGCCAAGAGAGTGCTGCGTTTGGACAATCAAACTGCCTTCCTCAAGCATAGGACGAATTCCCCATCAGCCAGAACTTCACGTAGGTTCTTTCCTTTGATGTGCGACGGCTGTGGCTCAAAAGCAGCGCCCCCCACCAACAGTGCAATCTCCGCAGCCCCGCTTGCCCGGGCTTGGTGCCCAGACAGGATAGAGTACACTCACAGTTGTCCGTCGTGCGTTTTTGGGCTTGGGCCTGGGATGGGCATTGGCGCTTGCCGGAGGCTTGTCTGTGTTGAGACATGGGGGACTTTGTGTACCCTCGGCATGGTTGCATCCAGGACCCACGGATGAAAAGATGCCATGTCGATGTGCACAGCCTTGCACAGCCTGGTCGAGAGTGTGACCCGTGGTGCGAGGAGCTGATGCTGAAGGAGGCGGCTTGGACGGCAAAATTCATCCGCCGCCAGCGCGAAGAGGAGGCGGAGGCGGGCACTTCATTCGAAATCCTCACCCGTAGCCTTGGCAGCAGCTGACAGACGACGCGCGACGTTTCCGTCTGAAGGAGCGGGCACTTCAGCAACAACGCTCAAAGTGGGAACAGCAGGCTGAGGACAGCGAATGAGTCATGGGGCATTGATGGGCATTGTCGCTTCTAGGAGGTTTCGCTCAAATGCGACCAACGAGGTCTGCCTATAGAGAGAGGCTTTAGGGGTGTGGGGAACCGGGATGGCCAAAACGTGTTGCCATTTTGCTGGCTGTTGCAGATTTTTCCCAAGTGAGCTGTTTTTCCCAACCCTCGGTGCGGGGTTGTTAGACTTTTACTTCGGATTACATCTCCTCGCCCGGGAGTCCCCAACCCCAGAGTGTCCCCCCCCAGAAGGATACCTGGAGTGCCCAACCGCGTGAGCTCGAAACTTCCTTAGCCTGCAGGGTGGGGATGTTCGAAGTGTTTTTTTGGAATGTTTCTCTCTCGGGGTGGGCTTTTGTTTCCGGACTTTTGATGCTCATGATGTCCGCAGTAATGTCTGCGGTTCGCCTGGGGCAGCCCGACCTCCTAATGCTCTTGACCCTGGCTTTCATAGCGAGTTGTGGTTGCTGGTGCTCCACTGTGGCGAGGCGCCCCAATAGAGCAACCGGCTGCATGTGTCGGCGTCTGCTGGCTGTTTCTTGTTCGTCGTGATCCACCTGATGCTCCCAATTCTCGCCCCCTGGGATGGCGGGGCGACTCCATAATGCTTGTGACGCTCGCTCCTATGGCGGAGCCAAAGGTCGCGCATGTGCCGTCAGAACAATTGTCGCCTGGGGGTAGTAGCGCTTTCGTCCCCCGCGCTGCGCGTTTCAAGTTCTTCGTGCACCGGTGCCCATAGATCTCATGCTATGTCCGGGATATGGCACGCACGGGGGCAAGTGGAGCGTGTTGCTGCTGCAGGACACCATTGTCAAGTTCCTGAACTCTCCCAGTACCAGTCTTCCAAAGGCCCTTGTCATCAGAGCAGGGCTTGTCACATGCCCGCGTTGTTCAAAGGCTAAACGCATTGCCACACCGGCAGCTGAGCTTGTGCCTTAAAGACCAGCGTTTCTGAGCTGCGATGGCAGGTTCTCGTTGCGCACGCAGCGCAAGGCTGCAAGCTAGAGACTCATTTTCTTCTGGCTAAGGGCACGAGCAGGAGAAGGCAAATGAAAAGGGGATTCTGGCCTCGCGCTGAGTCGGCAAGCAAGCTCAAGCACATCTGCCGTCAGATTGGCCCCATGTCCAAGGACCTCGGTGCTGCGGCCGGCGAAGCCGGCGTGAACCGTACCCCTGGCGAAACCTGCAATCATGCAGCGTTGCTATGGGTTGTCCCTTCTGCCATAGAGTTGTTCAGAGGGATCATGTTCTGGTCGACGCGGTTGCGGTCGTAGCACCTTTCTGTCCGGCTTACCAACTGCTGAATTCCCCTGACACATTCAATTCCGCTTCCGCTTGGAGCCTTGGCGTGGAAGCTGTTTAGACTCGAGTCTGCATCACTGCCGGTCCTCGAGACAGAACAGCCATGGCCGACGAAGAGGAAGCTGAAGAGGAGCCAAGCGTTTCGCGAGGGCATGCGGAACAAGCAAAGGTTCGAACATGTCAGAGCTATATAAGGCTATATATACATAGGGTGCGCGTTGTCACAGAAGTGTCACATCTACTTCCAGAACACTACTGTACGGTTTGCAACCTGACAGTGGCGGGCTTTGCTGTGGTTAGCTTGAGGGGCTATGATAAGTGTAGGTAGTGCGCAGAGTAACACAGACCGAGGCCGTAGGAAGGTTCTTGAAACGAAAAGCATGGTGGCTCGAAGTACCGCTTGCCTTGCGTGGGCTCAGATTCTTGAAGAAGGTTACGCTGTCAGTGCTAGACATAGTGGCAGCGACAGGGGTGGAGCCATGGGCCGATCGCTAGTGACAGCTGGTCCCTTCATGCCTCTGTGGTTTGCTTTGACTGCTGGGCAGGTGGCCGCAGAGTGGCCTCAAACAAGTGGAGGTTCTGTTATAGGAACCACCCTGCCTGCAAGTGCGGGAGGGGTCGAGGTGGATCAGTTCCTTGGCGTCCCCTTTGCAAGGGCTGAACGCTTTCAACCTCCCGTGGACTTCCAAGAAGCCTATCCAGGAGGCAGTGTCACGGCTACCATGTGGGGCGCGGCCTGCATGCAAGTGGCAGGGGATCCTACGCAGACATATGGGAGCGAGGATTGCTTGAAGGCGAATGTTTGGAGTCCGCGCACCGCTTGGCAGACACAAAAAAAGCTGCCGGTCATGGTTTTCATCTACGGAGGCTCCAATCAGTTCGGGGAGGCGGAGCCCTATAACATGACCCTTGGCCAAACACCAAAGGACAAGAATGATATCAACAGCAAGTGCAGCCAGCAGGGGAGGGGAACCCACCAAAGCCTTGCCTGCCTGCTCGAGATTGAGCGACGGATAGCGACGGCATTTAAGCCCGCATACTCTAGATCGGGAAAAGGGGGAGACTTGGAAGATAGGCAGCTCCTTATCTTGGGGAGGCGCAACCGAAGCAAAGCAAGGGATACATGCTAAGGAGCGCGCTGGCAGCTTTTCACGATGTCGTGTGCGTGTCCTTCAATTACCGCACGGGGCCGTTGGGCTGGATGGCATTCCACGAAGACGTGGAGGCAAATCGGTCTACTGGCAACTGGGGCATCCTCGACATTCAGAGTTGCTTGGCGTTCATGGACAAAAGTTTCGCAGCAATAACCTTGCTTGTTTTCTGGCTTGCAAGTTGCGTGCTTAGGATGAGTGCTTGCTAGGTGCCCTGCGCTGGGTTAAGAAGGAGGTCGCGGCCTTCGGCGGCGATGCCTCACGTGTGGCCATCCACGGACAGAGCTCTGGGGCAGGCACATGGTGCACTCCCTTGTGCCGGTGTGGCTTTGGCCTTATGAAGTAGGCTTTAATCACGCCTTTGTTTCTGACTTATCAGGTCTTGTGGAGCTGCAGTATGTCTCGCCCCAGTCAGCTGGCCTCTTCCAGGGTGCGATCAGCGAGTCAGGTGGAGCAAATCCGGCCTGCATACCATGCCTGCGTAATACTGCAGAGAAATTGCCACCAAGCCCTGTCATGCTATAGCTACGCAGGTGGAACAGGGCGTGTGACTCACGCTAGAGATTGATTCGTAATCCGAGCATCAGTTTAATTAATACCACCACATTTAAATGATTTTTTCGTCGAGAAGCCCGCCGGAAGACTACTTTCCATTACGGGTGTTTTTGTATGGGGAAACTCCACCACATTTAAGGAAAATGTTTTCGGGGGGTTTCCAAGATCTGTCGGCAGGCTTCTTGTTTTGCTTGCTGAGCTGCGAAGCTAAAGCACCTCGGGGATCTGCAGCCTATTGTTTGTAATAGAGAATCAATACAGGGCCACGGTCATACTATTGCGGAACCCTGCCTTTCTTATTGTGGTGGGGGGTGGGGGGGGGGGAGGGGGGGACCCCCCCCCCCCCCCCAATTAAACAGGTGCTCGGATTAGGGAGATGACAAGACATCATTTTTGGTCTTCACTGTGGAAAACCACTTTGAGACACTTGAAGGTCAAAGGGAGGGATGATTGCAATGAATTGTCTTCGGCCAATATTATTCTTGTGCGCTGTCCGGAGGCAGTCTCAGCGCCATGAACCTGTCCATCGCCTTGGCAAGCGCCACAAAGATTGCGTCCAGCTTGGGCTGCGCCACAGCGCAGAAGGCACGGCCCTTTCATGTATCTGCCGACACATGGAGAGTACTGTAGATGTGCAGGACCCTGTGAACCCATTTGCAGTCTCAGAATGTGAGGGGCTGCCTGGTCCACAGGTGAACAAAACATGTCTCGCTCGAGCGTCCTGGCCAAGCAGAGATTGCAGAGACCTCGCTGTCTTGAGGTGGATAATGGTGGGGGGGGGGGGTTTTCGAGCCTTTGTCAAGGTTCCGGCGCTGAATCTCACCATGACCACGTACTCGGCCCCGTGGTCGCCCGTCACAGACGGCGTCACGTTCCCGCTGGCACCCCAGGACTTGCCGTGCAGACACGGGAAAGCTCCAAGGCCCTAGGCCCTAGGCACTGTGTGATCAGCTTGCAAGCTCAACTAGATGTTTGTCCCCGTGCGCGCTTCCTCATGTGTAAAGACCATGCAACACGCGTTGTCGGCAGCCACACATTCCCGCACTTGATAGCAACTCCTAGTATGGGTCTGTTGGGGAGTTTGAACCAACAAATCTTGGGTTCTGGGCGAGTCCTTTGCCGTGCTGCAGGAGTTGCTTCGCTTGGGACGCGTCAATCCAGCAACTGTGGTTTTGGGGGCGCAGACCAACGACAGCAACCTCTTCCTCTTCCGTGACTACACTGAGGACATCGCTGTATTATACGGGGCCTGCAAACCATATGATGTACCCTTGAGCATTGATGGCCGTTCAAAAAAGTCAGTTCCTGTTCCTGATCTACCGTTTGTGGCCCCATTGTTCAACCGCCTTTGCAACCACAGCTCTCAAACTCACAGGCCACAGACGCCACACAGCAGTTCCAAGCTGTGAAATGTTCAGGATGGCCTGGATCAGCCGAATGATCGGCCTGACGGTGCTCTCAAGCCGATGTCCGATAAGCAGTATGGCGTCTTGGCAATGCTTTAGCAGGCTTGCCTTGTGGTCGCAGTATGTCGCAGTGCTTGAATCTTTGTGACCTTATGGGGGTTTACGAAAATAAGGGGCCCCTAAATAGTCGGATGTCTTTGTAATAAGGACCCCAATAAGGTACCCCCTATTTTCGGAAACCCCCGATCCCAGTTTAGGCAAGCTTTCTGAACGAACGGGAATAGGTTGTTGCCGACTGCCAGCTGCAAATGCCTAGGAGTGCGGCTGTTTGCTCGAGTTGGTCCACGTCTGTTGGGCAAGGACACGAAGGGTCAAAGTGGAACCGAATACCCTCAGACTGCCAAACACATCATGTGCTGTCCTGCCGCGACGATGTGTTGCAGTTTGGTTCATGAGTTCATGAGATGCCTTGAAGTACGCTGTGCGGCAGGCTCTGAGCTTGTACCCGCCCGTCGCAGGGAGTAGCATCTTGCTTCTCGTCTGCAGGGCACTTTCAGTTCACGTGCGGCGACTTGCACTAATGGTATAGTGTGAAAACATGAGGTGCCCTCAGGTGTCGGTAGCTGCTTGCAAGTAGCAGCTTTGTTTGGGCACCGAGGAACGTTCATCAGCTCGGGAACGTGGAATCTGATCAGAGTCACTGCCAGATCCGGCAGCGCGCCTCGTGGTTTAACAAGGCACATCCTGGGCGGGCCTTCACCTACCGCTTCGATTACTGGTCTGCGACTTAGTTTTTTGTGGGTATTGCATGGCGAACCGAAACTCTTCCCCACTTGAGACAGAGCTTTCTGCCAAGGTACACCGGCAATCCAAATTGCAGTGCTGTCCCAAACTATCACTTGCCCTACCTGGGGGCTGCCCACCAAGATGAAGTGACTTTTGTACTGGGCCAGCCGAATTTCATGGAGGATGGCAGCTGCTGCGGTCTGTGGGGCTTGACCACCCCAGACTGCCCGCACCTCACGCGATGTGAGGCCTGCTACGCTCCAAATCGTTTTGGCCAGGAAGGTTATCGAGCCTATTTCAACGACAAGGAGTGCCCTGGACGGCATTCAATCATTTATGACATTGCAAGGTCTGAAGTCCCGCGGCGCTAGGGGCACGCGGTTGGTGCACAGATAAGGTGGGACTTTGCCCGAACTGTTGGAACCTTTTGGACCAATGTCGCATCCAGTGGCGACCCCAACTGCAGGGACAAGTGTGTCACGCCGGGCACCTGGCCGAAATTTGCAGCGGGTGGCGAGGTTACTCAGACCCTTGGCTTTCGTGAGAATGGTCCTTGTAACAGACCAGTTTAACGTTCCCTTGTAGTATGGCCCTGATTGCCTGCTCTGACAAAGGAACATTGTACTGAATGCCTCGTTGCCCGGTGGTGCAATGGCTGAAGAGACTCCACATGGTCGCCCCGAGATTTGTGCCTTTTGGGATGCAGTCGCTGCAGATGCAGAGACCACGCATTCAGAGCCCACCTTGTACGCGTGAGCCCAGTGATGCCCAGTGTCTCTGCCCCCAGACTCTGGGACCCTTGTACAAAGGGAGCCCGTTTCGCCGGGCTACTTGGGCTCGGAGCACCCCTCTCTCAGGGATTCGGGGCTTTGTCCAGTGGAAGGCGTACTAAGGGAGAGGGGTTTCTCGCATGAAACGCAGCCTGAAGACACCGTCGTGCCCTTCAATTCCTACACACGCCTCTGCTGTTCGTACAGGCTTTTGGAAGGAGACTTCTTGCAGTCTCGCTTCAGGTGAAAAAGGCTGGGACCGAGTCTGCTGCCCCAGCACAGTTTTTGGATTGCAGTGTGCGGCTACATGGTAAATGGCATGGACTTCCCTGAGAATGTATTGCGTGCTGCCAGTCCCAGAATCCCAGAGCCCGTCCAAGATGCTGCGTCATAACCAAATAATCTTACTTTGTTGTGCGACACACTTGTGATTCATGAGTCATGACTTAACCCTGTGGAGGAGCGGAAAGCGCTGTACGTTTCACCCCTGGCCGACCCTCTCATCACAGCAGCTTAGCCACAGAACGCTGCATTCATCTCAAAGCAGTCAAAGACGACAGCTGTAATTTCGAGCCACAAGAACAGGTCACATCGAACTCTTGTCACCTGTCACTTGTGAGCGTGCAAGTCAATGCAAAAAAAACATTGGCCCAGATGGCTGAGGACAAGCTTCTCGATCGATCATTGAAGCTCTTGAAGAAAGCCGTGTCGGAGAAGCAGACCAGGCAGCTGGCAGCTGTTGCATCTGGCATTATCCTGTGCTCCATACCTTGGACCACCTTTGCACCAACAGGGAGAGGACATGACATGAAGGAGCCACAAGCTGACTGCTAAGGCGTGGAGTTCCCGAGGTCACCAAGGCAATCCGCAAAGGACAAAAGGGAGTTTGTTTCTTAGTCTCGGCCCCAGCTGTCGCGACAATGTGTTGGCTGGGGTTGTCGCTCTTTTTCGTTTGCAATTCTTGGCCCAGGCTGCCGACATATTTCCAATGGAAGCTCACCTGCAGAACTGACTGCGCTGAGAAGCAGCGGAACGGGCCGTTCATGTACTGACACATCTGCCCAATGGAGTGCCTCAAATTGCTGAGGATGTTTTCGCCCACGTGCCCCTGCTGGCCGAGGAACATGCAACAAAGCACGGTTCCGAAAGCCTGCTTTATCGATGTTGCCTACTCACCTACTCTTGTTGCGAAGGAGAAGGGCGTGTACTACTGCTACGTGTCTTCCCGGCATCAGCTCGGTGCCGCCTGCCAGACGCGGCGGCCCATCAGCTTGGCAGCTTGCTGTTAAGAACAGCAGTGAGAGAAGCAGGGAAGCGCCATCCACACCAACATATGTAACATATGGCATGACACATTAGTTACACATGTGTCCACTCTCTTTGGATGCTCCCTGATGTCTATTGCGGGCTGGACATCTTCAGGTAATGGTTCTGGAGCCCAAGAGTGATGCGACATACGCGAAGACTTACGAGCAGGTTCTGAGTCTCGGCAGGATGCGCTCTTGGCCGGGTCTTGGCACCACCTGCGAAGTTACAGTCGCAGTAGTTCATCTGGCGACTCTACTGAAAAGGTACTCTGCTGTACTCTCCATTGTACTCCTGAGGAATGGAATCAAAGCGATTCACCCCTACATGTGAGCTGTAGTGAGACCCTGGACTGACCGTGCCTCGCATCCATCGCCTTTGAAAGCGACAAGCCGCAGAGAGAAAATGTAGCGCTTGCTGAGTGCTTGCTGGGCATAGTCACTTAGGCTTGCCTGATCGGTTTTTGGTCTTGCCAACCCCCCCCATCTTGGTCCAACATTCTCCCGGTTTCAACACCTCTCAAGCAACAAGCATGCCTTTATAGCATGGCGCTTGCATGCCCCAAGGGCAAGCATGTGAGCCATGACATGTGGGCCTGGCTGCTGTGATGGGCTGTGGTGCAAGTGCCTGGAAAGGTGCGCGTTTCACGCATAACAATCCGGCATGTAAACTGCCAGGAATTCGTCCAAGCAAGTAGCCTCACGAGAGATTCTGTTCTCGTTCGGCGCAGGCGTCTCTGACCTGAAACATGGAACGTATACCCGGCCCTGCAACAAGTGCGACGCAACCTGCGAATTGAGAAGATGCGGGCTTCTCGATGCTTCCGAGTGCGGCCTGTGTGGATCCTCACTGCCTTCTAGGAGCTTCAGCTGGACCTGCTTGCAAAAGTACTTTGGATTACTTTGGTGCGTTTGGATGCTTGTTGATTTTCAGTTTGTAAGCAGAATTACCTCTCATGGTCTCGCCCGGTGATGGTTTGCCCCAGCCAGGTGTGGTTTCCGAGTCTGTTTGCCATGTGAAGTGAGCGTGGCCATGGAGGGGGCCAGTTTGGAACGACTGCGGGTGGCTCTCGACACCCTCGACCTCCAGGAAGTGAAGGGCCCGATGCTTATGGCAAGGCCCACAAGACACGGTTTTGCAGTTCGCATCGGCTGTAGTGATCCGGTATGGTGTCGTAGTGTGTGGGAATAGGACCTTCGCCACTCCATCTTGCAGATGCTTGCAGGCAAGAAGCAGAGGCGCAGCTGGAGCTTTGTGATCGGCTCGAGGCGGCTGGCGACCTTCGCTCCATCCATAAGCTGGAGGAGGCCATCGCTAGCACCAAAGGCCACGAGGAGTTGATGGCCCGGAGCTCGGACAACGCTCGTCTGAATGTTTGTGGAGTGCGACCATCGAACCGTCGAACCATCGAACCATCGAACCGTGATCACCACCACGTCGGGTGGGCGAGCTCAGGTGCAGACGCGCGTGCAGTTGCTGTCTCAGCGGCTGCAGCACTTCACAGACATCGACCTCGAGCTTGGCGGAGCCATAGAAGGCATTGCATTTCACTGGAAACGCCGTGCAACAGCTGATAAACCATGAGGAGGTCTGTAGGCCGGACTGTAAAGGTCCTAGTAGGTCCCATAGGCCCAGGCTGCCCAGGCTGTTGGTTGTGCTTCGAATGTGAGAGGAGGCAGCTTGGAAGTGCTCCAGGACAAGCTCCAGTGGGCCGAGGAGCTCCCGAGATTTCTTTTTAATCGAGCTTGGTCATGAAATGCCGTGGGTACTCAGATAGGCTCAGCAAGGCTCCATGCCTCTGTCAAAGGAGTCTCCAGAGCTGAAGCCAGTTCAGTGGGACTCACAGCCGCTTTGGTGCAAGGAGCAGAACCTGGATGCTCCGGAGACCCTTGGCCATGCCCGGCGGCGACTGGGTCAGCTCAGAGCTTTACACAGGCAATGGGGAGCAACCAATCACATCTCTAATTTCCATAGAGCCGGTCCCAAGCCCGAAGATATCCCAAACACGCTTCAGATGGACGCTACGCCAGGCTGAATGAAGCACTGGACGCAGACTTGCTGCAGGACCCTCCGCATGAACGGTGGGGGCTGATCTGTGGAGTGTTCCGCAAATTGAAAGTAACCTACAGTAGATTGCCTCCGAGCCATTGGGCTTTCTTGAAAGCATGTTGCAGCCAGCTACTTAGCTGCTTCTCCCCCGTTTTCTTGCCATTGACAAACACCCGAGGGGAACCTGCCAACCTGAAACATGCTGAACATCACAGAAGGGCATGGACGGTCTTGGGGTGAACCGACGAAGCCGCTCCATTGCGCCGAGGAAATCCGAGAAGCCATCGGAAGCTGTGCTGAAGCGTGACTTGACGCGCAGTCTTATGCAGATGATCTTATGTTAGATAGTCCTGATGCGCTACGTCTGGAAAACGTTACATCGGAAGTGAAAATTAATATCGAAGCTAACAACTTTACTAATTAGAATCCAGTAGAAGCCAACGGAACACATGGGTCTTTGAGTTTTTTGTAGTTTAGAGCGCCCCTGAGCTCAGTAAACTCCTCGTTGGCAATTCACAGGTTATGAATAATCTGTTTCTGGACAGCGTCGCAAACACTTGCATGCAGTCACTCATTTTCATGAATTAAGTAGTTCATCCAGTGATTCAGGGCAACCCAGGCCACACAGGTCCTGAGCGTGTTTGTGTCTCCGAAGTGGAGCTTTACGCATGCGCATGTGTGTTGCGACATCTTCGTGGTGCGATTGCGTGACATGAATGTGGCCTCAGGCAGCTTGAGCCGGAGCAGCAGGAGTCTGTCGCCGCTGCTAGGGCCCGCCTGGATGTACTCCAAGCTGCGGAAAATTTGGCGCAGGCGAGTTCCAACTTTGTACCTCAGCTCATGATGGGTTGCCTGAGTGCAGACCCCTACCCCTACCCTACAGCGACGACGCCATTCAGGGCTTTTGCCGCCAAGCCCCTAGAAAATCCAAACCCCAGCTATATAGGAAAGGCCCCTGAATCTAGGTGGGATCTTCATCAGATCCTCGGATTGAGTACTGGGACGCACATATCAACCGGTTCAAGTGCTCATTGTGCTGGAGCCGAGGATGCAGATGAGCTTCAACTTGCTCTAGAGGACAGCATCTTGGGGCAAGCCCAAAAAACAGTCAAGCTTGTAGCAGGTAGGGCAGCCAGTTGAGCGCCTGATTGCATTTTCAGGTCACTTCATGTCTAAGCATTCGGCAACTGGGGTGGGGCTCGGGGAAGCAATGCAAGCCGGATTTTTAACACCACACAGCCACACAGCTTCGGGAAGCTGAAGAAGGCCTGTGACCGCTTGTTTCAGGAGGCGCGGCGCCTCAGTGCGGTCGAGGCAGGGCAGCTGCGACAGGCAGAGGCGGGGAAGAGAGCCTTTTGCAGCCAAAGACATGTGGATTAGGCGAGAGAGCACTGTGGACCATGTGTGGTCCAGGACCTCCTGGCGGAGCTCCGGATAACCTGCTTGGAAGGTCACCGACTTCAGCGCGCCTCCGCAGCAAGATGTTGATAGTGGGCAGCCGCGAGGCTTACCCGTAAGGCATAAGGAAAGACCCTTGTGCAGGACCGCAGTGAGGTGCCAAACCCTTCCTTTGCATGGCTGCCCAAGACCTTCTCCACGTGCTCTCAGCCACCCAGGCATGCGCAAGCCCATCAGATCATGCGCCTGCCAGGGCTGCTACGCGCAATCGGATGCCAAGGAGCTCGGGTCTTCTGGGAAGAGTTGTTGGGGTCATGTTTGCCATGTGTCGTGAACAGCGTTGAATCAGTGTCATGGTCTTCACTCCTTGCTCTCGGGCAGCTGTAGCCTGCACTATAAGCTCCTTATTGAGCCCCTTCTAGTCGCTTTGGCCAGGAGCTGATATGGTCACGCTGTGAACTGTGCGATTATGCGCTTTGCCACCACTGTGTCGCTTGGCGGGCAAAGGGAAAGAAGGAACAGGAGCGGTCGGAGGCCATGACGGAGGAGAACGATGCCAACGAAGCCCCGACACTGGAGGTTGCCGCCCCTTCAGTTGAAGAGCTGGAACAGCCACCTCCTTTCTCCATTGGGCATGAAGAGAGCACTTACAAGAAGTGGTTCGATCATAGGGCTTCCCAGATGAATAAAGAAAGTGCGCAGTGGGAGTTGCTGCGTGGAGGTGCGTGGGTTCCATTTGGAATGGGCCTTTGCGGTAGGCTGGCAGCTGCCGCCAGGAAAGGCGAGCGTGAACTTCGATATGTCGCCTCCAACAATCAGGAACACCTCTTCGACTTCGAAAAGATGGAGCAAGTCAATTTGTCCACTGGCAAGAGGCGATCCATGCGATCAGTCCTCTGGGAGATCCATCTGGACGTCGGCTGGGTTCTGGTTGATGATGCTCTGGCCTTGCAGCTGCAGACGCATGAGCTGAGGGACTCGTTAATCTTTGACTACTTTGCACGGGACATGAAATACACCGTCAACCTGATCGATCTATACCAGCTCAATACTGAGCTCGGAACCAAGCGCTCCTTGCGGAAGATGTCGCTCCAGGACACGCCCCCGAAAATGAGCCGGCATCAGTTGCGCGTGGCCTTGGAGGACGCCTTTCCCAAATTTGCTTGCGCGACACGACAATGGCTAATGATGCGGTGGCCATGGCAGCAGATTGGGGACTGCAGCATCGATGCCGGCCAGTTTGTAGAGACAGGGCTGGCGGAAGAGATCGCCTCAGGCCTTGCAGAAATACAAGAAGGTGTGCCGCAATTGGGGGGCATTCTCCAGAATATTCTATGGTTCGACTATGTGGATTCCTCCAAGCAGGAGAACGTGACACAAGCGCAGGCACAGGGTGTGACAAGCTGCATGAGGCAACAGGTATGACGCCGTCCTCAGATCACCGTCAAAGCTAACGTACTCCTTTTTCCGGAACCTGAGGTGGTCCGGGCGATTCTTGAAGATCCGCGCTGGCGATGGGGCCATGCAGGTTTCTTGGAGCAAAGGCTCGGGCATTGAAGCTGTGAAGATTGTGCAGGCTATTCGGATCTTTCGTACTTTTTTCAAAGTATGAACGCAGCATGAACGCAGCATGAACGCAGTACATTTGCGGCAACCTGCACCCCGGCCGTCAAGCCAAGGTGCAGAGGATGCCGTCAGTGCCCTTTGGTTTGACCTCGGCCTCCAAGCGGAGCAACCGGTGAGCAAGCTCGAGTTCCTCGTTGCGGGTGCCCTGGTCTTAGGACACTAAGACCCGCCATCGGCCACTTAGTGACTCTGTGGCACACACTAGTTCACTAGTTCAAGCAGAGGCCCTTGCTGTCAGGCGGCTTGTCCGACGAGCTGCTCCAGGTTCTCACCTCGAGCTCCCCAACTGTGGACGACTGGATCATGGAAAAGAAGCTCCCGCTGTGGGAAGGTGCTCTTCGTAGACTCAAAACCCCAAAAGACAGTGTGGCTCATGCAATTTGTGCACGGGCAGGTCAAGACTGTGCCCTTTGCTATTGCCCAATTGGTGAAACGGATGCTGGCCGGCGAATGCGCTGCGGATGCTGGCTTCATTTTGAGTGCTTGGGCCACGGTCTGCAGGCAAGGATCGGTGCGGTTTACCATGGTTTTCCCTTGTCTGCCCACCATGTATGACTTGGATGTCTTTGTCGGTGTGGTCAATGGCCTTAATAGGCTTTTGACCCCACTGGTCTAGCTTGGAGTTGGAAATCGCTGCGCCATCTCTCGAATTGAAGCCGTGATTGGAATAACACTGCGAAGCCGGCAAGGATCCCGTTATAATGTGGACCCCCAACATGGTACCCCCTAATGTCCGTTTTGCATCATCCCTGAGGTGTTGATAAGTGAGCACACGGTAGATGATGAACGCATGAGCACCTGCCCGGCGGCATGCGGCCGGCGCCTTGCTTGTAACTGGAGACACCTGGAGACACCTGGAGACTGGAGAGCTTTCAAGTGGTTTACCTTTGTTATCATGGAGAGATCATATGCCCCTAAACCCTAAACCCTAAACCCTCGATGTCCCACTTCCAAGTTCGAAGGCCGTTGGGTCGCATCATTCCGCCGGGCGTCATTCACAGAGCTGTCGGCGACAAGCTCTTTGCCAAGTGCCCTCGGACTCGCGTGAGAACAGGTATTTGATCTGGGGGCAGGAAAAGAAGGTTCTTGAAAGAACAGGTTCCTGCCATCGACACTGCACAGCACTTTTGCCAGGTACTTGGACTTGCGCGTAGAGGTTCAGTGGCAGAAAGAAGCCATGGATTCGGGAAAGCTGGTGGCAAAATGTCCTGGCTGCAGCTTTCTGGTCCTTTGCAACGAGCAGGAGGAGCTCAGAAGCTCATGAAGTCTTGGCAGTTGGATCCTCGCATGTTGGCCATATGCCTAGACGAGTTTGGACGCGAGTCGCCTCCGTGTGTCCGTGAGTCCTACTTGGGTATTGCAGGAGATGTACTCCATCAAATGCTTGCAGAAGAGCTGCACCACGGAACTAGTTGCTTCATGCCGTGTAGGTTGCTTCAGAACACGACGGAACATCAGGTTGCATCGTGGATCGCTTTTGTGGATTATGTCGTGGCCTTACGGGCAAGCCTCAAGGGCATCGTGCAAAAGCAGCAGCCCCTGGCAGTGGACTGCCCAAGCCATGCTAGTGACAAAGGTGGTCTGCAGCCACATCGACCCTGGACATGCAAAGAGCACGAGTTGAATCTGAAGTACAAGGACGCAGTGCCCGCAGCAACCTGGCACGATGTGAAAAGTGGCACGAGTTTGTGGCTGCGCTCTAGCTTCTCTAGCTTCCTTTGTTGCCGTGCTGCAAGAGCATCTGGGTAGGGGTCATTTCTTCAAAAACGCTTGGTGATCCATTGGCAGCCGAGGCATGCCGCAGAATCGAAGAAGCGCTTGTGGAAGCTCTTCACAGGAGATGTCCCGGCTGCGCTGTGCCTACGGAACGGACAGACGCATGCTGCCACATGACGTGTTCCCACTGCCGAGCTGAATTCAGTTGGGTGTGTGGGATGGAGTATGCGTTCTGCCGATCGAACCATCGTTGCCTGAATGGCGCCATCTATCTGCATGCCATGCCACAGCTTGTAGCCATCCTGAATGAACGTGGACTGGAACCATCCGATCAGAATGGAAGTGATATCTTTCTGGAGTTGCGCTGCCTTTACTTGCTCTCAATCGTCCGGCGTGATGTCGGCGAAGAGACCTGGAACCGCACACGTGCCTTGGTTTCACGCAGAGCGAGTTACTTGAGTTCTGCATGCTCATCACTGACGTTGACTTGCACGGTATAGCCTGTAATTGCTTCTTGTTCGTCGGGAGCTCAGTCATGCTCATTGGAAAAAATGTTGATGTCAAGCTCCTAGCAGCTGCTGGTGATTGCCAGTGCATCTCCTGAATGGCCTTAAGATCCCTCAGACGCCCAAAGGTGTGGAGCATCCTGAGCTTCTCACAGATGTGATCCGCAGTTCATGGAGCATTCCCTGGGGTGAGATCGGAAATGTGAGTCGTCTGACGAAGCTATTGCCACATGCCTTTCCAGCGATAGGGCCGACAGCGACGTCGGCCTCGTGGCTGCAGAGTTATGTGAGTAATCGTGAGAAGTTGAACGTTGAGATACTCGAGTCACTTGAGCCTATGAGGAAAGGCGCCGTGTAGCCCAAGCAAGGCTTAGAACAGGCTTCATCTTCCCGCTTGTATTTCACTTCCATTCATGTGCCGCCGAGGCCGCCAAGCCTCGGCTCCTTTCTGTCTTGGACGACGTCCTGTGATAATAAAGAGGTGTGAGTGGGACCAAAACATGCCAGGATTCTGCACCTAAGGTGCCAGAGGCGAGAGGGGCATTGCACGGCTGTGTGCCGGTTGTACAGATTGGTGCGTTTGGCCCAAACTCTCTGTTTCCAGTCTCACGCCAATTTCACGAGCGGCAAGTTGCACACAAGGCCTTCTGAACGCACCTTGCTTTGCCGGTTGTCGACCCCTGCACTTCTGTTCAGCGGCATTCAGCATGCCAGAGTATGCCAGAGTCTGCCAGGTCTTGGTGCCATGTCCAGAGTCCAGGCTGCGTGAATTGGGTACTTTCTGAACAGCTGAACATGCCTATAGGAGGCATTCCTTTGACACACCGGTGCGTGATTGCCTCCAACTCGATTAGCGATTCCGAGTTGAAGTGTTTGGATGCACTTGGAATAGCGCGCCTGTGTGCAGCATTAAGTATCGCCTTTCAGCTGGCCGTTTCTCGCGTTTGTACAAGACCATGGCGGCAACAGTTGACTTCAACTGTTGCTTTGAGCAAAGCTCATCGCAACATGACCGCCTGAAGGCTGCACTAAGTACCCATCATCATGTTCCCCGAGTTCTGTGAACTGGCGAAATCCACCCCACCAAATGATGTCAAACGACGATGGCTACTTAGATGGCATGTTTCGCTAGCAGCACGAGACCACCCAGTTGACTCAGTGTGAGGAGTGAATGCGTTGAATGCTCGAGACGTTGAGCTGTCCATACCTCGAGCAGCGTCGCAAGACTAGAGACTATAGCTCACACGCACATGTGCCAGTGCTGCTCAGCCGTTCCCATGCGTTGCGCTAGGACTGCTAGGGGATACATTGCAAGCTGTGTGGGTTGTTTTCAGTCGGCCCCTGGACGCTGCAATCTTGCTCAGCATTGGCGAGCCATGTCTAGAACTGCATTGTTCCAAGAGGTGGGTCTCACATTCTTATGCTCCAGAGCCTCCATGCAAGCCAACACTGTGGGGTTCGAACGTTCAGGGTAAGGGGGTTTAGACAGCCGTGGCCGTCCCCGCCCCGTTGGCTCTCGCTGCCTGCATCGCGTTTGGGCTCAACATCGGGCTCTCGCCGAGGGCGCGGACTTAGGCCCGGACTTCCTGGGGGCGGGCTGCAGAAATGTGGTTTTCATCGATTGGCGGACGGGCGCTCTCGCCGAGGTCCTGTGCACGTTACATAATCGAAATCGTGCTCCCGCCTATGTCCTGTGTCGCTCCAAGTCGCAAAAGCGTGGCTATCGCCGACTTTCCTGCATTTTAGCCCGTTGGATAGGTTCACTTCGTGAAGGCATTGGCATTTCGCGATGTTCGCATTCTCCTTGTCAAGTTCAGATTGTCGTCGCTGCTGGTCCCTTAGAGGAGCCTTCTTGGAGTGATCTTCGGGCGGTGCGAGCGTGGTTTTGGACTGATTTTCGGGTGGTCTTGTGGTTTTGGAGTGTTTTACACTGTTTGGCGCCCACGCTGGCATAATCCTCTTGCAGAAAGCCGCGCCCAAAGAGAATATGCTAGCACGGGCGTGCGCTCAGCAACATCTTCACGCAAAGCATCAGAAAATACCAGAAAAAAGTTCTTCGGGGCCCATGCTTCAAGATGTCGCGCCTGGTCCCGATCTGAGACCTTTGCCAGGCTTACCAAGAGGCGGAGAGCTTTCAGCATGGTGTGGCATATGGTGGCTATGCAGACCCTTCACACCATCAGGTCAAGGATGTCCACCTCGAGCCAGGCAGGACCTCTCACGGGTTGTTGCAGTCGATGGGCGATGTTGGGAGGTGTCTCCTGCTTGTAGTGGGTCTCTTTGGTGTCTTTGGTGTCTTCTAGAAAATTTTACTGGTCTGTCACTCACCCAGGCCACCCTAGGCCCCTGCTTGGCAGCTGTGGAGTGCGTTTCGAAAAGCGTTGTTTTCCTGGGTTCTTTCCCTGCTAGAAAGTCCTCTTTGGATTTGTTGACTCCCAGGCCCGGGGCAGAAGGGGTTCTTTATCATCAGCCCAGTACACGCCAAAGTGGGTAAAGTAGGGTGTTGTTGAAAGCTTCTTAGTCCGCATGGCTAAAACGACGGGCAGGGATGAGCCTAATGAAGCTTTAGGATTGAGGGCAGGTACAGGGTGTCCTGGATTGTTTGGTCGCGTATAGTTCTTGAACTGGAACTTCGAGAAGAGAATGTCAATAAACGACACATCATTGAGCGCAAGTCTTTCTTCACGCCTTACCTTTGGAGAATTCTCAAGATGGAAACCAACCAAGAGCTAAACGACTTCTCTCTTACTCTCGCGGATCCGAACACAATGTGCAGCTCATGTACGCTGGAAGAATTCGCCCAGAATGCCCTGGCCCTTCCAATCTCATGTGCTTCTCCTTGTTTTTGTGCCAGGTCTGGCGTCACCCGTGAGCCCTCCCCCGCCCCTCGCTTGGAGTGGCTTAGCTGCACCCGAAGCCCGAAGAGCCCGACGGGCGGCCCTGATCCTGGGTTACTGCAAGCAAGCACTTGACTTTTAGTATCAGTCTAGATGCATGGAACGGCGTAAGAAGCCTCTGCACAAGGCTTCCCATTGCACCTCGCCGGTCCTCCTCGTGCGGCTCTGATGTCTGTTGAGCGATGCAAGCCTTGGATCTCCCCCGTTGTGTATCAATCTTCAAGTTCTTCCCCCTGTACCAAACTTATCTGCAATGCATCACAACGCAGCGTTTATTTGCCCAAGCGGACCTTGCTGCACCCGCGCTTCAGAGCCGCTGCAGGCCTTTTGAGCTGTTGTTACCCCCGTGTCTTTGCTGCTCCCAGCATCAGCATCTCCCATGTTCAGTGGCGAGAGCAGTCGCTGCCCTTGCATTGCTGCTTTCCCTGTGCTGCTGTTCTGCTGTTCTGCTTTTCCGAAGCTCTGATTTCCCTGCTGTTTCTTGCTGCGTTGTCTGTTTGACAGTGTTAGTGCAACTTCTTTACCCTACATGAAGCCGCCACGTTTAACAAGCGATCTTTCCTTGCAGCCGATAGCAGCAGTTGCCGGACGATGCGGGTTACCAACATATTCCTGCCGTGTGCGCACTTTGCTTCGTATCCTTGCTTGTGCATCCTATAGCTATGACTCTGGCTAGAACCACGGCATGCTGTCAAGGCTCCGAGTCTCCTAGGTCGTTTCTTACTTTTAAAGCCTTGGCAGCAACAGCTATCATCAACGCGCCCTGCCTCGCAGGGCGCTATGGCTCCTTGGTCGGAGCCTTGGATTGCTGCGATCGCTGTCTTGTTTCATCAGCCGGCAGGAACCAAGCGAACGTCTTCCGCGGTAGTCGTTGTTCGGCTTTGAGATCCTTAGCCCTTCGCTTGCCACATTCCCAACGAAAAGAAGATTTGTTGGGCTCAGCCATCACCGGTCGTAGCCGCTGTAGCCGAGATTGAGCTCAATAGCTTCGAGCCCTGAGTGAGGTGGCGATCAGCTCTCCTGGCATCCTTTGCAATTGCCACTCCGGAGGAGGATGCAGCACGGCTTGCGGGGTCGGGCTCTGAACTTCGCCGTGTTTCATATTCTGTGGCTCTGTGGCATCGCAAATCGTTTTTGCTTAGACACGCTTGTTGAAGCCATGGCATTCCAGATCATGCGACGTCTGAAATGCTTTCGGTGGCCGGGAATGTGCGGGAGCAACAAGAAACTTGCTGTTACAACTGTTAGATGCTGGTAGCAGCATTCCGGCGTTCCTCCAGGCTGGGAGTGGCCTCCATCCTGAGCCTCAGCTGTGTTTGCTGGAAGCCTGAGCCTAGTGTTTAAGTTGGTCTACTCTCTATACTGGTAGTTTGCTGCTGTCTGGTGGTGTTTTTGCGCCTATTGGTTATACCTGGTCATACTTGCCGCTTGGTGCTGATGTATGGCAGCTGCTTCCAACTCAGGCAGTTCACGCCTGATGCTGCCCTAGAAATCGAAGGCCAGGCCCGACCGCTAAGTCTGTCAAGACATTCGTTTGCCATGGCAGGCTCTGCAACACCTGGGCAACCGGCGAAACCCTCAACAGCACATTTTCTTGTGCTCACCGCAGCACTGGGGGCCTCAGGATGGTGCGTAGTCAATTGTCAGGTGGTGATGATGCACGGCATGGGCGACTTTGCGAACAATCCTATGGGGATGATTCCGCTGCGAAAGCTCATAGCGCAGGCTGGATACACATGGCAGGAATACCAGGACCACCTTTACAAGAGCATGGCGCTACTTTCGTTCTTCAAAGCTTTGCCACCTGAGACCGCCAATGCCTACGTGCACAGCGTGGAGCTGTGCTCGAGTCCCTCCAAGCTGTCTGGCTGCTCTCAAGAGGACGCGTGTTGCATTGCCATGTGCCGATGCAGCCCGGACAATACATTTCATCTACGTAGTCGAATCGTTGGCCTGGGATCTTGTGGTAGGTACAAGGGGGTTTCACCTGCTCGAGGAGCAAGCTTGTGACTGTGCTCCCTTCGGCTGCATCGGGTTGTCTTGTGTGCGCCTGCATCGGTTCTACGGCTTTGGCTTGTGTCGGCTCAAATCAAGAGGGGGGCATTTGTTATTTGCATTTCCTTGTTGAAAGCACAATTGGCGGCCGCTCTCTCCCCGATGCTGCGAATCCCCAGGTTCAGGACACTGCAGGCGCAAACGACAGTTGACATCATCACATCACGCAGTTACAGTACGAGCCAGAAACAAGTGTTGGGTGCTGAGCTCCGTGGCCAGGTCCACTGCTGTGCGGTTCGCCTTTGCGCTTTGGTTTACTTCTTTGCCTTCCTGGGGCGCCTGGGCTAAAGGCCAAGCTTGGGCCAGACTGTAGCAGCGGAGTTCAACAGTTCAACACCTCGCTGATCTTGGGTTCGACTTGCTGAGGAATGTGGTGGATGGGCCCATATTGTGGAAGCTTGAGCCTCCAACTGGGTACACCACTCAGGCTTTAGTTCACTGGAATCAGATCGCCCTCGTCCCGGCGGTTTTGGTGTTTTTGAGGCGCAGCTGGGTTGAGGGTCCAAGGCTCAAGGTCAGCAGTTCCAGGGCCCAAGCTTTGCCCCATTTTGGCATTCGGCAGCATCTCGCATGCCGGGTCCTATCATGCATGTTCGTGTGCGTTCAGGCCGTGGTGGTGGCCAGCACTGATGGCTTGCTGGCAGATTTGGCACGAGACAGCGCGTTCTGGCGGATCTGACATGGACTCCGTGTTTGTGCCGTGTGGTGACGTACCAACCCGGCCGAATTAGTGAGCCAACACGTAGACGTAGACTCGGGGATGATGAACTCGCTTGTACGGCACGTGCTGCTCGGCAGTGCCAACCAGAAGACACCTTATATGTGCATGTATCTGTCTGCTTCTCTTGGTTGTGCAAGGCTATGGCAGCATGACATGTCAGAAATGTACAGCATTGGAGGCGGGTCGTGGTTCTTCTTCGGATGGGACCAGATGATGGATGAAATTGGCTTCCTCAGCTGTTTGTTGTCTGTCACACTCACGCTTTACGACGACGATGCTGAGGCTCGGGAGTTTGCATGCCTGTCAAATTGCGCATCTCCCGTTGACTCACTGGCCAGGCAGAGTCTGCAGAGCCTTCAGAGCCTGCAGGCCAATGGCACAGCTCCTCCACGTCCAGCCAGGAGTTGCGGAATGCAAATTTTCCTGGAAGATCTAGAAGAGACTTTTCGGGAAAGGTTGCAAACAAATTTCAGAGTGCCCTGCGCAGGGCTCCCGCCATGGGTCAGACTGCATTGGACATCAGGCCAGAAACTGGAACCTCGAAACGTATTCGTTAATGCACTCGTGAAGTAAAGACTCTCACACAGCTTCGTTTCACGTCGAAGGCCGAGGCAGAGGACATCTGCATCTATGGGGTAACATCAGCTTGACTGAGACATTGTAGACGATCAAAGGCACAAGCCAGAGATGAGATGTAGGCCTGCTTCAACTTGCCCAGCTGCAGCTGCAAGTGTGCAGGAATGTGAGCCGGTGCTGCAGCCCGAGAAGGCCTCTTGCAGCGCCTGTACATTGCCCTTTCATTGGTAGTGGTTGCAAGAGAGAAGGAGAGCAGTCTCCATCAGGCGGACAGCAGCCCCGGGCTGCGCAGTCGGAGGCCCGCACCTGAGCGGGCAGGCCAAGCTGTCGAGGCTTGAGATGGCTTGAGCTTTTTGGACATTTCTGTCCTTCCACCCTGACCTTTCTCGTGTCTGGTCTTGAAGCTTGAGTGATTGGACGGAGGGCATCTTGCTACTACGGGGATGTAGTTGGCTTCGCTGATTACCCGACCGTTGCCAAGCCCCGCAAAATGGCTGCTGCGTTATGCTGCTCTGAACCGCTCTGCTGCATTGCGTCGCAGGCGAGGAGGCGCAGCGCCGACCAGGCCGAGGCTCGCAATGGTACGAGACAAAATCTAAATCTTGAGCATGACGAGAAAACGATGAGTGCTGTTTTTTGAAGTACAGGTTGGCTTCACCATGCTGCACTCTGAGTATGCTTGATAGATGTTTGCCAGGCAGGCAAGACAACCTTTGCAGCTTTATGGCAGCTTGTCTGGCATCCGCTCTCTGAAAAGCCTGGTTCTGCTCTCGAGCGGTGCCAAACTATCGTGGAGCCCTGCACTCAACAGGGTGGTCGTATGGGTTGCTGTGATCGTCACCTGCATGCGAAATTTCTAGTGTGGTGCGCCCCAACCTTCTCGTTGTGGCTGAGTATTTCTTACCCATTCTCTGGCTCCCAAGGAGTACGTGCGAATCATGGCAGAGATCTCGCTGTCATTGGCCAGTTTCCGCCTTTTTTTAGCAGCGGGTTTAATCAAGATGCGAGTTGGGAGCCCATGCTGGAAAGACCTCACTTGCCTCTATGATCACTATGAGACACAGCCCATGCCCAATTCCGCAGCGTGGTATTTTCACAACTACACCCCGCGGTCTCTTCTCCGCCTGATGCAGTGGTTCGCGATAGACGTATCAGAATGCATTGTTCCATTCTTGCTCCTGGGGTTTGCAGCAAACGTGGGACCTCTGGGCTTGTTGCGCCGACATCTTCTGCAACGGGAAGAGTGGTATCTGCAGTGGTTAGCTCGTTTTCCGGCACGTCTAGTGGGGTCTGTGACCATCATGACGTTTGTTTTTGGTATGTTTATTGGCGGCAACTACGCCTTCCTGCATCCTTTGTCGCTGGTGGCACTGGTGGCCTCCATGGGCACTGTGGAAGACATCCCCATGCAGAGAAGGCCGGTGTCTCCTGTCAAAGCTGTCTACCGTTTGGCCGTGCCGTGGCTGACGCTTCTCCTGTTGATCTTCGCTTTTCTTCCCAGTCTTAGAGCATATGCCCCTAGGCCGTCACCAGTTCTTAATTGGCGGTGTGGCAGGTTCTGCTTAGTTTTGTCGGGGGTACGCGCATGGCGCGAGTTGGCATGACATGGGATGCAAGGCCTGGCTAATCATGGGCCAGGAGAGGCTCGGAATGCTGGAGCCTCTGGGCAGGTCAAGCTTTGTCCGGGCAGCTGAGCAGATGAACCTGGGCACAGCAGAAGTCGGTAGAACCCAGAGTAGCTTGTGATAGGTTTTGCCTCGTTCAATGCAGTGCTTCGGCAAAGCAAGTTTGAAAGCGAACCGGTATGGTCTGTGCTTGCTTTCGATACAAAACCTCCTCTAATAGGTGGGAGAGCGGCGCGCAAGTCGCTGTAACTTCGTTGCCAATGGATTCGATGCTCGGGAGTACTTCCAATAGATTCAGTAGAGGACCGCAAAGAGACCTAGACGTTGTGCTTTTTGCCAGCGACACAACAGCTGTTGCTAGCAGACACACGTACTTCAATCTTGGAGAAGCGTGTTGGGCCCCTCCCCCTCCCTTGTGTTGTACGTTGCTCCATTGTTGGTTTTTTTTCTTGAAATAGTCGCTGGCCTCAAGGAACCTGGGAATCCCTTACAATCACCACGCTTACTTCGCCGGCGCCGTCCACAAGCGAAACGAGCCACTTCCTTGGCAGTAGAGGTTTGGGCAGAGGATGCAAAGCACTCACAAGCCGAAGTCAAAGGCACAGTTCTGTCAGTTCTGTCTCACAGGCAAATACCTCAAATACAGTCCAAGCCCCAACGAAAGGATGGTCCTCTTTGCGGAAGCTGGTGAAGGCGTGTGCGGGGTTGTGCCAGCTTTGGAAGGGGGGGGATAATGGGGGATACTGGGACAGGCCCTGTTGAGCTGGACATCCCGTACAAAGTGGGTCAGGGCCTTGGCGCGCTGGCGACCAAGGTTGCCTTCCCCTCCTTCTTACATGGTGCCTGTCGCACTGTAGCAATGCACTGGGTCCCGCAGGAGAGATATGCCAAATACTCGGAGCAGACAGTTTTTGCAGCAATGTCAGCCCCTAATTAGAGCTTTTTCTTGGCATTTTTTCAGGCAGTGCAGCGTAGGGTCGTGTCGAGACAGGTCGGCTGGACCGTGCACCCCGTCAGACCAGCCCTCTGCACCGACGCTTCGCCTGGCAGTGGTGGTTCCTGGGCCTAGGCTCTCTGCCAGTTCAGTTCAGGGGGCTTCGTATAAAGGTCGAATGTTGGGACCGCCAGAGGGCTCAGATAGATCAGTTTCTTGCCGTGCTTCTTTTTAAAGGTGATTGAAGATGCTGCTCATACAAAGTGACAGTTCAAAGCATGCGATTGTCATGTCGCGGTTCCTGCTCATGCTCAACAGTTCCGCGGCCTAAGCGGCATACAACCCAGACATTGCACGGGGACCTAGCACAGCATGTGTGCTGCACAAGTAAACTTGAGCTAGAGATCATGGAGAAATGGAAGAGAACCGCGGGATTGTGCAACAGTGACAGCAAACATCTGGATGATCAGCAGCAAGGGCTGCAGACTGCCGTTCTCCGCCGGTCCCTCGTGGCATGTCGCATGCACCGGTCTGTGCCAGGCAGCGACCCTTCCTGGCTGGTCTCCTTTCTGGAGCTGCTATGTGTCTTGGTGCATGTTTATGAAGCAGTCAGTGCAGCTTAAACAAGAACGCATTGGTGCAGCCAGGCTTGCAACTGTCCTTTGTGTGTGTGTGTGCAGCAGGCCAGAAAGATAAAGTGGCCTGGCAATCTGTGGAATGGAACGGCAAAGTGCACGCCAAACTTGACAAGCTTCAAAAAGTTTCAGTGCAGATGTACACATACCACTTCTCTACGTGCCTTGCCAATGAGATTGGGGGATAGCTTCTGTTGTTTCTCTTCAAAATCTCGGGGGCCCACGTTTGACTACTCTTCACCCAAGTCCTGGATCGTCTGATTGGTGGCGACGGGCTGCTGTTCCTGGCCAAAGATTCGAGATTCCCTGCTTGTGAGCATTGGTGAGCTGCCGATGTCCCAGCGTATTGTTTAAAACCCAGAGGCTCGAGAGCAAGTTTCGCGCATGGGATGATGCTGTACATGCTGTACATAGCCAGGCAGCAGAAGGCTGCCCGATGAAGCTGGACTCAGCTACTGTAGAGCCCCCACAAGTCCCAGATGCATTCCCAAGCATCTTGCCGCTTCTGGGGGTGATCTAGGACATGTTTCAGGCTGAGTGGATTCCGTACTCCCCCGGAGACAAAGCATTGGCTGTTCCACTGCCCATTTGTCCGGCATGAATGTGAGACATTTTGAGGCACTTCCCTTTTTGCGACAAAGAAGTTCCAGCCCCAGTGCAGGACCAGTCCAATGGCTTCTTCATGACCATGGACAAGCGCTCAGCTTCTTTCAGAGTTTGCTCCTGGGATGGCCAGCGCCGGCAGAGACCCGGAACAACACGGAGCAATTGAACTTGGGCCGAGGATGCGCAAGTTGACCAGTTCGCCCGTGTTGTGCGAGCTGACAAGAACCTGAGCAGCTGCTGGCTTAGCTCAGGGCAGCCTTGATATCGGCACTAGCTGCGCCCCGGACTCTTGAGTTCGCCACCTTGACCACGTCTCAATCTCCCCCCCGCCTGTCCTCCCTCCCTCACTCTCTTGGTGTCTGTTTCTTCGCCGTAAGTTCCAGAGAGAGACAGGAACCAGGAAAAAACCATCAGAGCTTGAAAGGCGGCTTCAACGCCGTTGGCTTCTCGCAGGGCAATGTGCGCTGGCCCTGCTTTGTTAGCTCCATGTGGCTTTCCAAAGATCGTTCTGTACTTGCCCTTGCAATTTGCGCAGACCGTGATCCGTGGCTACATCCACAAGTACAATGACCCACCTGTCAGGATGGCGCCAGAAGTTTTGCTAGTAATTAATCCTGTTGCAATGGGCTTGTGTTGTTTGAAGCAGGGGTGCGCGTGCTGTTTCAACATGTTTCCTGACTCGAAGTCTCTGTGCCGTAGCTGCAATCGGAACCGGTGTCTTGGGTATGCCTGCCAGTACATTGGTTGATGAGAAGCACAAGCTGCGGCATCAAATGCAATTGCGAAGAGGAGCTTTTTGTCAATGCACGGCGTCCTCATGGGCGCGTGGATCTCAGCTTTCTTGTTCCCTGCAAGTCTTGAAAAACCAGCGGCTCCATCCTCCCGAAGGTGAACGGGCTGCCACAGTGCCCAATGGAGGTCTACCACCGAGGAGATTGTGTGGGCATGCACGGGGCTTTCTGGCTGAATGCTCCGGCTAAGGTGCCAGGAGTTGGAATCCTCTGTCGAGCAGTCGATGCAATTGTTTCACATGCTGGGGTGTACACCAGCTTTGTGCCTTGTCTGAGTCAGCAGCATGTCGAGCATCCCACAATGCAGAAGGGCAGCGTAGAAAGAGTGTAGTGATGGTAGTCCGAGCCCAACCCTAGTGACTGGGGTCTTGCCACCCTTTTGTAGGCGGTTTGCAGACATCAGCCATGAGAAAGCTAGATGTGGCTTAGATACTCAGTCAAAACTTGTCGGCGGGTCTTTGTCAATGTTCAGTTCAGCCAGGTAGGCCCCTCTACAATCAACGGAGGTTACGATGCCCTGCCACTTTTACTTGTCCTGCTACTTTCTGGCTCAGGATTTGTTGTATCCTGCATTTTCTGTGCTTTTAAACCTGCACTGCAAATTCATCGATGGAGTGCTTACGTGCAGAGCTCGGCCAAGATGTGCCCACCTCTGCTCCTCAGCAGCTTCGTTTGCATGCCGATTTGAAGTCAAAAGAGTACGACGCGGATGATTCCCACTGGAAGCGTGCGACATCTCCAACCTCCGAAACGGAGACTGATGATCTCAGTCGATCATCCCTGTCCAGCTTCGAAAGAAGTTCCAGTGATGAGACCTTGCCGCCGCACGAGCATCTTGAGCCCCACATCGAGCTAGAGCCTGCCAGCGAACTAACGCACCTTTCCAAGGCCAGGGCGTTAGCTTTGCAGAAGGAGCTCTTGGCGGCCTTCTCGTCTCCACACTTTCAAAAGTGCTTCTCGGAACTGGTCCGGGGAAAGAAGCGTGCACTCATCGAGGATCTGGTGCGCAAGCAACAGATTGAGTTGATCGGCAAGTATGGCTTCGACATGTCAAATGCTGGGGTGGCAGACATGGCGAGGGCGCTGAAGATTTTGTCAGACGATCCGGACATTCTGGTGAATGACCTGGCCATCGAAGAGGTGTTGGCAATCGACAGAACCCAGTACAACAAGCAGAAGGATGAACCGACCCAAGCGAACCACAACCCAAAGCCTCTGACATACACATCTGTCAAAGACTTGCTGCTGGGCCGTGAGTATCTTGAATGTGCTCTTGTGGCTGTCCTGGTTGACGTGCATGGTTGATTGTCTCCTGATCAGGCTGCGCAGCCAACTGGTCAGCTTCGGCTACGCACCTTTCCAGCATTCCGTTCAGCAGCTGAAGGACAAGATGGACTGCCAGCTTGGACACGCCGATCCACAAGGACTGCATGGACTTTGTAACACAGGGTCTCTGTTGGCAAAGTGTAGGCCCGCTGAGATCAATCTGCTCTGCTTTGTTGCCCTGTCCTTGCCCCCTCGTCCATTCCCATGCACCCTGCTGCATCTTTCGGCCTCCAAGATGCAAGGATACTACCACCTACCAGGACGAGCAGACTTGGCCCTCCAGGCAAGCTGCCAGAGAGTGCCGGATACTGACTGCTGACTCCCCGTTTGAAGACATGTGCAGCACGTGTCGCAGCAAACTTGCCAACAGGAAAAGAATCTGTGAAACGATGTTGCGCTACACGCCTTCCAGGTGCAGAAGGAGATCTTGCCCAGCTTTGGCTTCGAGGGATCCAAGCTGGGTGTGCAGGACGGCTGGAGATTTGTATTTGGGGCTTGTGCGAACCATGACCTGCGACAACAGCATTCATGTTTGCTTATTTGGGTTCGCAGGGTCGCTGAAGGTTCTGGAGTTTCGTTGTCCCCAGGGCACCTGAAAAATTGTGTGAGAACTTGTTTCGGATTCTGCAAGGCTGCCGGCATCGGCAGCTTGAACAGCTCCCTCCTCCAATCGGTAATTTTTTTTTTGGGGGGGAGTCGCTGCTTGACATCTTTCCACTTGCGAACATTGCGACTTATACTTATACCTTCTCAACTGTCAGGAAGCAGAGGGTTTTCATATGTTTTCATTTCGCCCTCAGCGAGCCAATCTCTCGTGGCGGAATGCTGGACTCCATACAGCTCGGGCGTTGCGCTGTGAACGTGGGTCCAGAGATCCAGGCCGCACGATTGCTCCCCCGCTACAAGAAATACAAAGATCCCCGAACATGCGGAAGCCCAAATCCCTGCAGCCGGCAAATCTGAAACCAAGGCAGACGGGTGACTTATGGAATTTTCAGTCATGCCTGGCAAGCCCAGAACCTGGGAATGACACCGGTCACCCAAAAACAACGGAAAAACAAAGAAGACATCATGAGCCCATAAATCCGTGGCATTCCTCAGGTTGCCAGCTTCCCAAGCAGAAGTGGAGAAGAAGTCTCCAAAAACGAGTGCTGCCCGCAAGTAAAGATGTGGCACTAGTGCTCCTTCCGACTGCGCGAGAGGAGATGATCACACATTGCGCGCGCTTTCTGAAAGACCCAGAAGTGGCCCGGCTTCTGGACGGAGTAAATGCGATCCTCGGACGATGATTGGGTTTTGGCCCACCTCAGACTTTGGTAGCTTCTGCTTCTGGTGGGTTTTGGAGGGAAGGATGGGCTGGATGTTTGAGAGTTTTTTGTTCCCTTCCGATCTCCCTGTTGTCACTGTGGCCTTCCCGCATCTTCCCATTCTTCTGCGATTCCGGGCATAGAGTGCCAAGTGATGTTTCCTCGCACAGGAAGCTTGGCATGACGCCCGCCGCTTGCCGCCGCTTCCGTGAGCTCGCATGCAGTTTGGCCGAAAGGTGAAGCTGCTTGCCACCCAGGAGGGCACGAGTTGTGGTCCACTAAAGCGGAGTAGGGCACATTTTGCAGGAAGAGGCTTGAGCGAAATTGAGCTGCCTTTGTGACGATGCTGCACCTTCGCACCTTCATTCCGCTCGCAGGAGGCAGTGCAGACGGACGCCGTCACAACGTAGTCATTAGGCGGGATGCTTGAAAGATATGGGCTTGCACTTGCCAGCGCTTGCCACCACCTTGAATGCAGTGTCGCCTCACCCTGGCCTCAGTGAGTCTCAATAGGCCGCGGAAATGCCAGCGCTGTCTTCCAGCTCATGTTGGTCGAGCCCTGAGCTGGCAGACAAAAAAATAAACGCCACTGTACAGTTGCAGCACGCTTGAAGTCGACTTCCAGCAGTATGGAACACCTAGTTGAGCAAAGCAAGACGATGCCAACACTGTCAACAAGAAAGCGCCCGTACGTATGATCAATAGGTCTTGAAGCTTAGATGCTCCGACATCAAATGCCACAATCTGGGCCAATGCTCCGGAAGCGAGTTCATTTGTACTTGGCCTCTACTGGACCATAACCTTTTTCTTGAGCAACTTTGAGAATGGAGAGCTTGAATGGGAGGCTACGTTTGTTCCTTGACGTGATGTGATCTCAACAACCACCACTAAGACTTGCATCTCCAGTCTTAAAGGATTTTTTAGCGCAACGGGCATTCTCTACAGGTCTGCCCTGGCTCGTGGAACAGACAAAACGAGCCGCGCATCGGCGCATGAGCCCAACAGCTCCGAACAGTCTGTACATTATCGCAGTCCGCTGGAACACTTTGAAAAAGCGCATCGGGAGTTTGCATGTGCCGGGTGTAGCCTGGTCCCCCCCCACGTGCAGGTCCGCTTTCGTTACCTAGTTTGCTGTGGTGGGGCGCAGACTTACGCGCATTCAGCGGATCGTCTCATTTGAAGTGTGGAGCTCGGTGTCCAAACATCAGCCATCATCAGCCTTGCTATGGTCTACAATTCGTTCTGGCACAGGCTATGAAACAGGCCATAGCTCGGCTGCAGAAAGCTCTTGCTCGGAGCTGCTTTTAATTTTAGTTGCCAACTCTGCATGCAGCTGGATACTTGCTGTGCTGACTTTCAGTCAGAAGGCACTAGTATGCGTGTTTGTCCTGGTCCTATTTGCGGTTTCCTGCCTTTGAACTGCGAGTAGAGAGTGGCACGCGGAGGCTCGCTAAGACGGCTAAGAAGCCAACACCAGCGCGGAGGGCGTCTGGGTTGCCACCTCCTGGCGGATTCGGCCCGGGTACTGCGAATCCTGCTGGGGGGAAAATGCCGTGTGCTGGTGCGAGGGTTGCTCTTGATTAGGATTCCTGTCTAAGGTCCTGCTGAAAACGTAGAATATCGGATTGGGTGATTAGATGATACAAACTCCCTTGGAAGGAGGCCCGAGTCTAGAACGGCTCCATAGACCTGTCCTTCATGGTGACATGAGCCCTTACAGCTAATTTGAACGCTACGCGACCCGCCTCGGCCTGAGCTTCCGCAACGAGACAAGAGGATGGGGAGGGGGTGGGGCGGGGGGGCCTCTGAAATGCCCCCGGTCCTGATGCACCGTCTGCTCCCGGACACTTGTCGGCTACGGGGATTTTAGGCCAAAAAGTGCAATGTAAAGGGGTGCAAACCGGTGGGGAGGGGATGAGAGGTGGGGCGCCTGCTTTGTGCTACCCAGACACCTGCGGCCCGGAGCCTCGGCGGATTGGCATCAACTGCGTGGCAGCCACAGGTGCAGAACCACTTGGCCCAAGCGAACTACTACCGCGATGCGGCAAACCTTGGCGAATACAGGTCCAGCGCCCACTTCTTGCCCTACATCAACAATGAGGCGCCGTGCACTAGACAGACATAAACAGACTCTGGAGCTCACGTGAGCGAAATGCATAAGATGAGAAGCACGTGAGGGTCAGAGGCAAGTTCTCGCCGTGGCACACCCTCTAGCCCGCATCAAGCTCACTACGTGTTCCCTTCCTTCAATGATGCACTTTGCTTGACGGGTGGCCCTCATCTGGGGCAGGGGGGGCCGCCAGCTGCAACGAGAGTCCAAAAATTGTGCCCACCGAAACATGCTCATGGCTTAGCCGAATGCGCCGGACCCTTTGTTGTTTATATCCCCCGCTTGCAGTCCGCCTGGCATTGGACAGCTGCATTGCGCTCCTTGCATTCCTTCTAAAAGTCTTGCTGTCGGGCGCAGGTCAAGGGCCAGGACTGAGCGAACTGAGCGAAGCCCTTTCCTTTACTGTGAGACTTGCACGGGTGTTTCGAATGTTAGGCCACAAGAGGTCAGCAGTGACAAGGAGTGCAAGCACAGCGCCAGGAGAATGCTACGTACAAGGAGAATTTCAAGTCCTTGGAGAAACTGGTGCTGGTAATGGCGAAGGATGATACCATGGCAAGTCTGGCTCAAGTTTAGCTCAAAAGTTGCACTGGCAGTTCGCTGAGTTGCAGAGCCCTTGTGGAAGAAACCTCCTCGTCTACGCCAGGTCCACCCAAAAGAGAGCTCCATGGCAAGCACTGGCAGGAAAGTCGTAGGTAGCCAGCCAGGTAGCAGTGGTTTGGAGTTGTTTGGGTTGAGGCGAGCACTTCGGCTACTTCAAAGACGGCTCACGGGAGGCATCCCTTTGATGCGGACGCCGTGTGTCCTGGGCACGGCTTAGGCTGTAGGTTGCATGATTGCTGTAGGGTGCAGTTGCCTGGCATCATGAACATGCTTACTCCGCCGTGCCTGCTTGCGCGGTCACGTGCAGTCCCTGATCCCGTGCAAGACCTTGGTGGACATGCACGACGCCCCGTGGTACACCGAAGATTGGTTTGGCCTCAAGAGCTTGGACCAGGAGACTGGCCTCTTTGGCCTCTTGTCAGTTGTGATGGCAGTGGGCATCTGCAGAGTTCTTTTAAAGCGCTGCTTTGCTGCTTAAACATCTTCTCTTGTCAGGAGAAGAAGATTGATTTCTTCTCGACCCCAGGCTCGTGGCTGTTAGCAGTAGCAGTTTAACTTGTGTCATGCCGTACAGTGGGTTCAACAGGCAACCATCTGCGCTTCAAGACGGACTTCTTGGTTGACATGGTTGGGTCGCTTAGTTTTGCGGCCAGCAGGCAAAGAATGCACCTCACGTCCATGTCAGGATGTCCACCTGCATGCAACCTGCCTTTTGCCGCAAGCCACGTGGTAGCACAATCTCAGGTCAAGCGGTACTTTGTGACCAGTGGCTCATCCATCATGGTTTGAGAGGCTTAGGGAAGGGACCGATCTGATCCGGATTGCACACCAAGAAGTAGGAATCCTGCAGTCAGGACGGCATCTATATCCTCAGAATGTATTTAATCTCAATATCGTCTTTTCAAGTCACTGTCCGGCTCGGAGCGTGAGAACGTTTTCCCGAACCTGCACATGTCTGCTGACGCGGCGTTTGGCTGCGGGTGACATGGCTGGTTCACGCAGTGTCGTTTCCACGTAGTCTCTCTACAGCAGCTGGTGAGCTCCGCACTTCCCGTCTCAGTCCAAGAGTTTCAGGAAAGCAGAGCCTCAGACAAACAAACAGTTCCGCACGAGATTAATATGCATGTAATGCGACCTTCATAGTCCTGCCTTGGCAATGTGCGCTGCTCAGGTCTGGTTGCAGCAGCCGGCTTATTTCTGCAGCAGGAATGCAGGTCGGGGGGCTCGGGGCTCCTTAGAGCACGAGAGCATCTACGAGAGCAAAGGGTAGCAGAACTCAAGCCTGTCGTAATGTGCTTGAAGCGGTGTGCTGTGGCACGTGCTGCGGATGACTGTGCTACTTGCGTGCAGGCGCAACAATGCCGCAGCCGGAAGCTTACACACTCTTGCACACTCTTACCGCAATGTTGCTCCCAACTGCCGGTTGGGGATGTTCAGTTGCGACGCTCGATCGAAAAGAAGGCCAATGTCCACGTGAGTGTTGCATGGCTGCTAGGCTCCAGCGAGTCGCCCAACGCGTCGCCTTTTCCCGCGAGCGGGGTGGCTGTCAAGATGCAGTGTGGCCTTTCTGGCTTGACTTGGCTGATGTTTTTGGCAGTCACTGCCCCATAATTATGGATTCCAGGGCTCACAATGCGCGCGTCCAAAGTGAGAGTGAAGAAGCGGGTGAAGGATGTAACATTGTATGGACACAGGCATCAGCTGTTGTGGCCGATCTTTAGCTGCGCTAGCACACCTTGAGGCACCTTTTCCTCTCCCTCTCAAACACGTGTTGCGACAGGATTCCTGCTCTTGCAGTGACGCGTCAAGATGGTACGAGCACAGCGTCCTAGTGCATTCGTGCTGCACCACTGACATGGCCCCTGCCGCTTCCACCTGCAGCTGCGATAGACCATATCCACACGCATGATCGCAGTCGGAACATATGCAGAGCAGGCTGACATGCCATTCGTACTGTAGTTTGCAGAAGCCCGCGATGGACAACATGAGTTCAGAACGAGCCGAGCCCACTGCTGCAAGCCTAGGTGAAGCTGTGCCTTTAACAGTGAGGCCATGGTCTCCTGTCGAGCAGCGTTTTTGGCACTCCTGGCATGCCGTGCGAGCGAGCTTCCCGAGGATGTTTGCTCCGGCGATTGTCAGGAAGCACGGAAGCATACTAAAATACTGAGCAATGCAGCAATGCCAGTGAAGGGCCTCGGGCCTTTCATGCCAGGGGAGGCAGTGCACGATACCGATAAGGTATCGTTATAAGTGAAAAGAGGTGGTCGTGTAGTCGACCTGACCTAACTGATAACCTGCAGAAGCAAAAGTCGCTTGGCGTGTGGTGTGTGGACTTAAGGATCCTTCACGCGGAGACGGGCTTCGTGAAACGTCTATCGCAGCACTGGAGCAGCTTGAAAGCAAGTCTTCGCTGGTTCTTGGGAGTGCCGCCGCTTTAGAGCAAAAGACTCTGGCGAAGTCTGGGGGTGGTTGCTCAGGCATCAGTTCGCGCTCATCACCGACTTGGACAAGGCTTCGCGCGATCCCAGCAAGCTCAGATGGCACGCCTGGTTTCGAAGAGGCGTATCAACACGAGAGGGGCACGTCATGGTACGTCACAGACGAATTGTAAGCTTCCAGACGACTCGCGGCCACGTAGCACTGAAACTAGCGGGCCTGGATGAGCTTTCCAACACCTGTTGTCGACTCTCTGTCGATTGCCCGTTCGTCATCATTGACTTTACGCCACTGCCAGCAGCGAAGAAACGCAGACTGAATCCCAACGGTGGGAACACTGCAATCTGCAACATGTATGTTATGACGTGTGCTCGCAATCTACCTAGCTCCCGTTCAAGTTCATGTTGGAGTGGCAAACCGAACTGACGGCACAAATCCAAAGACAGCCAAACGCTAGTGGTTGGCTTGATTCGGCTTGGTTCGGACATGATTTCAACTATTTTTTCGGACACCACATGGCCCTGTGCAAACCCGACAAACTCCTACGACATACCTATCATACGGGTCCCCTCATTCCCGGGCTTTTGCAAGTGAGATGAAGCGAGCGAGGAAAATATGAAGCAGAACCAGGAGAGCGCTTTTCGTTTGCTGTCTATGCCAAGTTTCGATCATTGCGTTAATTCTCTGGTTGCTTTTTTTGGTAAAATATCCTAAAGCGGTCTCTACCGAATCATGAACGCTTGCTGGCCCAGTAAAAAACCGTGGCGACGGCTATAGGCTCCGGCAGCTTGTGCGCCCTGATGCCTTAGATCAGGCAAGCTCAGCATGATTCCGGAAACCGGCCGCTACCATCTCGAGTGGCTTCACACAAGCAAACTCGAGAGCAGCCTAGCCTTCAAGAACCGCAGCACCTTGTCCAAGCAGATATCGGATAACGGATCAAGTGAACAGGTGTCATGGGTGCTGGCAGAAAGTGGTAGTGACATGGTGACAGAGTGCTTCCATTGTTCACAATGACTCCTCGGCCACTCGAGTTGATTTGTGATTCCATCAAGGTATGGAGCTGAGCGAGCTGATCCGCTTCCAGGGTCACCTCCTGGCCATGTGCTGCCCGGTATAATATGAAGCCAAGCCGAATGGTCGATGTCCAGGAGCGAGAGGGATCCCACGTCTATCATCTTCTAGCTTATTGGCGAAAAGAAGGCATGTCGGATGCACGACGCGCGCAGATCGCCGAGGTGATATCACCGGCCTTGTCTTCGAAGTCGATCCTGAGGAGGGTCAGGCATTTCAAAGGCTAGCGCTGGCTGATGGAAATGGCAGGTCTATGAAACCTTTCAAAGCTGAGTGGGCCACCGTGAAGGACCTGCTCATGCATACTTTGCCAGCTTCGCAGACCTCAGCCAACATGCTAAAGTTTCTGCTAAGTAACATAACGTAGCCCAACGTAGCACAGCGATAAGGGGGACTTCGCCGGGGTGTGCGACAGGATGGGTTCCTGTTCGTTGGCAGCATGGGACGCGAGTGGACAGACGATGATGGTTCTGTAGTACATCGTGACGCTCAGTGGGTGAAGCGAATCGATGCGAGTTGGCATGTTCAGAGCCTGGACTGGCGACAGAATTTCGAGTCCTTACGTGCAGTTGTAGATGCTAAGCTCCCAGGTTACCTGTGGCATGAGGCCATCATTTGGGACTCTGAACTGTCTCGATGGATTGTGCTGCCACGCAAGATGAGCCAGAAGGCTTACTCACCGACCGCAGATGAAACACGAGGTACCAACTTGGTGTTTCTTGCAAACGAGGACTTTTCAGAAGTCGAGACACTCCGCCTTGGACCGCTGGAGCCAGAGTGGGGCTTTGCGGCAGTTCGCAAAGTGCCAGGAACGAACGACACCTTTGCAGCCCTAAAGGTGCTCGAGGTTGGAAAGCGCACAGCAACCAAGTTGTGCGTATTCGACCTTAGCGGTCGCATGCTCTTGGAGCCCATCTTCGAGGACGTCGGCGAGATGAAATTCGAGGGCATGGAGTTCATCTGAAGATTGCTGCTGGGTGAAACTGGGTGAAACTGTCCAGCGAACTGGTGGTGATGCAAGGGAATCGGTGTCATGTGCCGGAGAGGCTTACGGGAACAAAACATCAAGCGCTGCCAACACAAGGGAGTCGCACTATGTTGTGCTTGTAGCGAAGACATGAGACCGCTTGGGGCTTCTACACATGTTTCCCCACTGTTCCTTCAGTCTTTTCTGCTACCGGGCTAGTGCCAGGTGGGGCCGCGGAGCGGCCATGGCGCCTTTCCAGGGACTTCGATCCAAACCCCAGAAGCCCGATTTGGAGGAGCCACGCCTTCCTGACGTCGTGAGCACACTGCGAGATGCTGCGAGCGCTTCGCAGGAGCTCAGCCCCTGAGCCCCTTGTTTGGGCTGAGAGTTCTGCGGCGTCAGAAACTAAGCAGATGCCTTGCTCACCATCACAGACTTCACGCTGATGGCGCAGTACTTTCAGCACATGGCAGCTGAGGTCGATGTTGTACGGCAGCCAGGCCGCTTCTTCATGTCATGCTGCAAAGCGTATACTCTTCCTGCAAACCTTCAGGACATATGTCAGCACAAGTTTCTATCGGAGCAGTGCATGCCCATCCCGAAGGATGCGCCGAACATCTGGCATCAAGAGGCAAGTCGTGTTAATGCCTGTCATGGCCACGCCCTTCGTGTTCGAACATGCCACTTGCAAGTGCATCACCACTCATGTCAACCCTGCTCTGCGGAAGTCGGCGCTAAAGGGGGCTCAAGACTTCCACAGAGAACTTCTGCATTTGTTGAGCCTGCCCTCGATGCCACAACGTCGTGGTGACAGCTTACTTACAGGTCAACCCAAGTTGTCACGAGCGTATGCCAGCATATCAAGTTGAGTCAGGGTCCAGTCACCAGTCAGAGATACACTGACACGGCCCGTAGGCATTTCAAAGGACACCGAAGGATTCTTGCCGATGGATGGGGATGATGTGGCGGACGAGGAACTGGAAGGTCATGGTGGGCGCTTGCGGTTGCGCTGTATTTCGTCCGTCTGAGGCCAAAGTGGCCGAAGCCAACTCTCGCAAGATTCCTGCAGGTCGGGAGCAGTGGTCACGGCTCTTCTCCGAGCTCCGGGACAACCTGACCTTCCCCGAGGTACCTGCCGCGAACGAGGGCTGCAATCGTATGCCATCGGATATGCGTTGCATGCAATCGCTCTAAAGTTGAGAGCCGGGGTCGGTACTGTAGGAGTTAAGTTGAGAAGTGACCATCCGCAGTGTCACATCCTTGTCTTCGTCCGCATGGCCGGGCTTGGTATAGTTTGCATGTGCTGTGGCATGGCATGGACAGTTGAGGTACGTCGCTGCCGAACCGTATGCTCATGGTGGAGAAGGCCCCAGCTCCACTCATCCAGTTTGTACTGATGTCCAATGTTGCAACTTGCGATGGGCCCATCAGCTGTGAAGTGCACAGCTTCAGCCGGTGTAGCGGTCGAGGCTGGCAGCCTCCTCAGGGCGCGATTCTTGCGATGAGCCGCTGGGGACCTGGACTTCTTCGAGTTGGGTGGGTGATCTCTACCACAGCATCCTCGTAAATGCCCAGGCCTGGTGGCATCTCCCAGCCAATCATGGAGGTTGGAGCTCAAGCAGGGCTCAGACAGAATGCAAAGGAGTGACAGCCGTGGCCTCCAGGCATTGTGGTCCGAAGACCTAGGCGAACATCGGGGGCAGGCTTGGAAGGACAGAGATATTTTGCGTCCGCATACTCCATCGACATAGTGCTCAGGCTCGAACGCACACTCACATATTCGCTTCGAAAGCCCCCAACCTAAAACTTGGATGGTCAGCACTATGGGTGGGAGACAAGGCAACAGTGGATGTGTGGGGGCACTCTGCGCCAAGGGTACGGAAAAATGAGAGACGGCACTTGGGCATCTTCTGCGGGGGTGAAGCATGAATGCTGGCTGGGCCAGGGGTTCATGAGTACTCTGTGGGGTACTCCAAGGATCCTTTCCGAGATTCTCTCGTGGTGGGCACTGCGGGGAAGGTCTGTGGCATTCTGTGGGGATAGCTTTGGGCCAGGGGTTCTGGGCAAGAAAAAAGCAGCTGAGTTCCGTCCACATACTCACATAATCATACAATGCTCGAGGAGCTGCTTCTGGGTGGGATCAAACTCCAGCAGCGAGCTGGGACCCCCCAGGATGACTACGAGCCTTGTCGCATCAGTTTGTTGTTCAGGCATGGGAAGGGCATGTGAGCATTGAGCTCTTCGGCAGTCGAGAAGTCTGACTGCCTGGAACTCCGCATCTCTTGGGCCTGTAAGGAGAAGCTTTGCAACCAGACATCCCAGTTTGACTCGGCAATCAGGTTCAGGGCATGTCCTGCTGCGTGCAGTGTGTCACAGTCAGATTCAGGGCATGCCCGCCCACCATCCAGCTTTGCAGGCGCGATGTGCATCGCACCCTCCCGCAAGAGGAGCTCTTCCGTGAGCGCCAGGGGAAGGGTCAGCAAGCACTCTTCAGGCAGGAGACCTGTGGCACGACGTGAGATTGTGGACGTTACGACTTCGCAGCTGGCACAAATCATGCAGGTTGCTCAGGGCTTTGGCCATCCGCATGGAGGATGTCGGCTACTGCCGTTTGCTTACCGCACGCATCCGTCTCCTCACTAGGGCATCGGCTACTGATCATGGTGCTCGGCATCGCAGTATGTTGACGACGTTGTCAAACTTGCTGCCCTCGACCCTCCTCCGACAGCTCGTGCCCATCCCTCTTCGCACTGGTAGCAGCGCTACCTTGTAGCAGCAGCATGCGCAGCCGCTGTGTTCCTAGCAGGGGCGTAACATGGCAGTGTGGGGAACGATGGGTCGCGGCACTACAGACCTCAATTCAGTCTCTTCATGATGCTGAGGCCAAAGCCTCAACTTCATCGTGGCAACCCTGATTGGGGTAAGCCGCCAGATGAAGAATTGTCATGAGCTGTGCTGCATTTGAACTACTGGAATTCTGCGGCCATGTGCCCCATGCAAAGTTTGAGAGCTGTGGCGCAATGTGGCAGGTTTTTCCAGACGATGAAACGTTGGTATTCAACTGTTGTTTGGCATTGCTGCTCCGGCATTCTCTAGTGGACACTCAGCTTGAAATTAGGTGGTGTTTGTTTCTTCTCTTGCCTGCCCAATCCTGGTAATGCTTGCATTCTAAGGATCTGTACCGGCCGAAGTTCCCAAAGCTTGGGGCAACTTGATTGATTTTGCGAGACTGTGATTCGACCGTACATGTGGGGATGAGAAGTTCAGGCATCATCTCTGATCGGGATCGTAACCCCAGCAATGATAGAGCAAAGATATCCACGTCGAGCGTTGCCGAGCAGTCCATGCACTGCAACTACAGGTCATCATCTGGCAGTTTGATCGCATCGTGGAGGGCTTTCTGCCCAAGGTGCACGCTGCCCTAACGAAACACGGTGTCAACTCCGAGTACTATGCCATCCAGTGGCCAGGGCCTCAGCAAACGAGCAGCAAGGCGACTGGGAGCCGTGAGCCTTCAAAGCTCCCACTTGTGCCTCCGAAGCGCAGGTTCCTCTCTCTCTTCGCCAGTGACTTGCCTCAGAAGGTGGTGCGCCGGATTTGGGACAGTGGCCTGCCTGAACCATTCTCACTCGTTCTTTTGTCCCCCGCGCGATTCCTCTGGTCCTTGTTTCATAGAGATGCACAGCCTCGGATACCGATGCCAGTCAAGACAAATGGCACTTGCTTGTTTTCGTGGAAGGGCCTGATGATGCTCAGTGAGTCGGATTCGTTGTGTGTTTCGGAAGTGAAGCCCCGTACATTCAGAGATGGCGCTTGGGTATGCCAGCTGCCCTTGATGGCGTGAAACCTGGGAAGGGGCGAGTGTGGTTCGCAGGTTGAGGACAGGCACACTGCTCTCTCCTATTTGGCCGGCATACCAGAGGGTTGGAACGCCCTTCAAGTCAGCATCATTGATCAGCGTGAGAAAATCCTGGGGATATGGTGTGGCGAGTTCTGAAAGGAATGGCAACCATACGGTGTGTCGATAGAGCGTCAATGTTTTCAACGTGACGACAGCTGAGGGTTTCTGGTCGCTGGGTGGCGTATCATTGTCCAAGTGGGCCTGGCTTTGCTGTACAGCATCCAAGACGAGCTTGGGGACATGGAGACGCCTCCTAGCGGCATCTCACAAGCTCCTGGTGCTGGCGTACTGTGCTGGCTATACTTGTTTGAACTTGCTTGTGGCGTACAGTGGGCAAGCTACAACTTCAAGCAATGCTGCAGTTGAGGTGCTTCGCATTGAGCTTCTTAAGGAAGTTTGCGCAGCTGCTTGGGCTGCTAAATTGAAGCCTTCCACTTTTTCGTGACTCGAAACGGCAAAAATGAAGCGAAACAGGTTCTGAGTTCTGACTTCAATGCGACCAAGCCGAGGACACGCACACATCAGCCTGAAGCTCTCTTGAAGACAGCATCTTCTTTCAAGGTCTCTCACAGACTGCCACCTGCCTGCAGGGGGGTGGAGCCGTGGCTGAACGGCGGCTTTCCTAACCACTTGTAGCCACTTGTAGCCCTAAACCCTGAACCCTAAACCCTAAACCCTATTTGTCTAGGATTGCAGTTTTGCACCAAACTTTTCACCAGACTTTATATAAAAATCAACTATTTCATCAATCTTTTGCTTTGTAGGATTATCGATCGAGATCCAGATTCTATAGGTATGGCAATTTTTAAAACTCATTTTAAAATCTACTTTTGTGTCTTCTTTTTTCTCAATGTTTTTCAAATTCGCTGGATTTCCCTCGTAAATAAAAGTAATATCTCTGAAGCATTGAGAATTTGCACGCTCTTTGGTTTTTTATTTTAGGTATTATATACGAATGTGGTACATATATCTCTGCAGCATAAATCACTTCGTTGGGCTCCTGAGCTGCCACTGTACAAGAGCCGATGTGGCCAGGCAGAGGGAGTGTAAGCGACAAACCTTTGCGGTGTCTCCTGTAAGAGTGGCGAGACACCTCGGGTGAGAGGGGTCTAGCTAGGACTGTAGTCGAATGAAGGTGTTGGAGTGTTTCGCTGTTCGAGACGAATGTGCCAAAGTGATGGGAACCCCCTGGGGGGTTTTGAGACCTGGGATCTTTCTCCTGGGAAGAGATGGGGATCCATTGGGCCGGGGTTTGAGTGGTGTTTTAGCTACGTCCCTATGAAGGTCTTATGTGGTTTGGGTTCCTCTCCTCGGTTTGTCAGAGATCCCCATCGTCTCCTCGTATGTGTATGCCGGCTTTAAAGGCATTTTTTCCCTGAACGCACACCTTTCCCGGAACTAGTCCCTGCAATGTGGCCACAGTGTCAGCTAGGCGGGTGGCAAAAAAAAAAACCCTAAACCCTGAATCCTAAACCCTAAACCCTATTTGTGTTGTGCGAGAGTGAGCGACGAAACCCTATTTGTGTTCTTCAGGCTGTCAGCCTTGGAGGCCGCTTACAGCTGGGAGGACCCCCCAACCCATCAGCAGTGTATAGCCTGGGCATGGGCTCACTTGGCACGACCATGGCAAGCCTTCGTTTAGGGTTTAGTGTCTAGGGTTTAGGGTCTAGGGTTTAGGGTTTAGGGTTTAGGGTTCCGCGGCACATGCGCAGGAGGATGCTCAGTTGGAGGCAGCTTCGGGCATTCGGATGTTCTGAGCAGATCTCGCGCTGTATCGGAGAAGCCATCTCTGGTCCCAGTTTCTGTCCAGCATCGATGTGGGTGTTTACGAAGGGCAGGGCCTCGCAACGCGAGGTCATCAAGGACTTGGCCAGCGGTCAAGTACATTGGGCAGTTCAGGCCGTGCCGCGAGCACCTCCCACTCACGTCCCGCAAGAAGGCCAGCTTTTCTTTGTTGCAACTCCGGATTTCGTAAGGCGGCTGCCCCCCCCCCCCCCCTGCTGCCCATGTCAGCATTTGAAGGTGAAGAGCCCGCTGTGCCGATTCCCCGGGCATTCACGCGAGGCTGCTTTGAGTGCAGACTTGTGACGGAGTTGTGGGAACATTGTGGGCTTCTCTGAGAAGCAGAGCCTAGCTTTGAAAATAAAAGCTCCCCAAACGACCTCAAACATCCTCAAACAAAGGTTCACCTGGCGGGGATCCTTGGTGGCAACGAGACCCGACCGAACCCGACCCGCCTCACCACCAAAAAGAGGTCACTTGTTTCCTGGCCCAGTGCTGGGAATACTTGTGCCGACTTGTACCCTCTGCCCCAAAGGAAGCATATGGGGGGGTTTTAAGAGGGGACCCCTTATATAAGCCCCCAAGTAGTAGGAATCCCTGATATTAGGGACCTCAATAAGGTATCCCTAATTTGTCAACTGTCGTCAGTCTGCTGGCTGTGTAGTCCAGGCATGCCTCAGTGGTGAGGAGGGGCCCGAAGAACGCAACGAAGGCAAAGTTCTTCCGTGGCTTGGCAGCATGCAGAGGTCAGAGGTGTGCAACACCCACACACAGACTCTACGAACATGCTCAGGCAAAGATTTAACATAACATTAACAATAACTTGTTTGCTGACAAAGCCTTGGTGAGCAAGGTTCCTGGTCCGAAATTTGGACACGGGCGTCTTAGCTGTTTCTGAACAGACCGTGACATCTTGTATGGAACCAGATGCGTTTGGATGAGCATTTGGGTGGATATCCAAGGTGAGACGAGTATTTTGAAAAGGGCGTTCTTTCAATACCGTGACGAAATTCACAGTTTCCTGGCCTTATAGTGAGCACTGTGTGGTGCCGCGTGCTCCAGCTTCCTGAAAGGGGTTGCTTCTGGATAGGCCCAGAAGGCAGGAGCCCGTTGAGAAGCGTTGAGAAGCCCCTTCCAAATGAAAGATTCGCAAGAGCTCACGCGGCCGGTTAGTTCAACTAGTCACACCGCGAAATTGAAGCCTCCGCAACTCTTTCAGCATGCAGTGTCGCCATTGTTCGTTGCAACCTGCCGATCCCATCATCATGGCCTTCATGGGCAGGCACGCCTTGTAACATCCTCTGCCGAAACCTGGTTATGAAAGAACGCTGGTCGGCTTCTGTTTGCAGTTTTGCGCTGCCAATGGACCGGAATGCATTCGTTCCTGGTAGTTAAAGGGATGTATGGCATGCGCCGCAGCCTTCGAGCAGTCCCCTTCCGCAGTTGGTCGCATCTGGTACCCAGACCCAGAGATGTAGCAAGCATTGCCGACCCTAGACTCATCCAGACGCCTACTTGTGAAGCTTTGCCCACAGACCTGATGGCTGAGGACAAGCTCAAGCAAAAGCTGGACCTGTCGTGAGACGACCATCTGAATCTGGCTACTGATCGTGGTGTGTCGGCATACGGATCGTGATGCTTGCGAACGGATGTGACCCCGCATACATGGCTCTGTACAGAATGCAGGTTGGAGCGTCTAAGGTTTCACACTATCATTAGCAGCCGCTCTTCTTGGCAGTGTCGAGCGGGAATTGTCAGGATCATTTCGGACAGTGCCAGTACCATTGGTGCCAAGAAGCGCAGCTAGAAACCAGTCACCTCCACACAGCTCTCATGCAATGGGCCCAAGGTGAGTTGGGCCAACTCACGTTGGGCGTACTTGCTGTGCAAAACAGCCGATTGATGCTTGTTAACATCTGCAGTAGACTAGCAGCTTGTCACACCTGCCACGCCCAGCCCGAAGTTGCAAAGCTGTGTATCGCCGAGTCTTAGACTTCTTCATGCTGCGTTTTCGGCTGTAGCAGCGGGGTATCAGCAATTGTTTTCGGTAGCGTTCGCCCTTTTCCCGGGCCCTTCAAGCCCGATGCTGCGATTCCTTGCGCTGAGCCTTCATGTTTTGAGCCGAGGATGCACTCTGGATGGCAATGCTTCACACCATGATCTCGGCATTGATGCGGTGCAGGCGATGAGCAAGTCTGCTCCTGGACTTTCTTGGCAAGAGTCCTTGTTCCTTAGCATCCCCACAAACTCTTCAGCTCGAGCATCGCTGGAGTTCATAACCAGCAAGCCACACGTTGCAGGCAGAAAGAAATGTCCAAGAATCTGTGTCTTTGTTTCATTTTGTATCCTGATACTGTAGCTTCCCGATCAGGAACCTTGGTAGTGGCAGCCTCTTTCTGTAGTTTTTGGCAGGCACAGCCGGCGACCTGCACATGGCAGAGTATGTGCGCGATGCCTTCCGTAAGGAAGGGATCACGGCAGATCTGGATCCACAGAAGGTGCTTCTCACCTATCCAATCCGTAGTGCCCTACAGCTTGTAGACGGCAAGGGCCGCATTGTGTCCGCGGCCAAGCTGTCTGAGGATGTGCTTCAAACGGATAACACGTCCGACACGTGGTGGAGAAACCACACCTTCAATGCCTTCTCGCCTTCGGGGGACGTGACGGCCCCTGTGGTCTATGCCAATTTCGGTCTTCCAGAAGACTTTGCTGCTTTGAAAGCTGCAGGCGTTGAGGTCCGTGGGGCTATTGCCTTGATGCGTTATGGTAGATGCTTCCGTGGCCTCAAGGCGATGAACGCGCAAAAGGCCGGCGCCCTTGCGGCTGCAATCTATTCCGACCCTGAGCAGGACGGCTATGCAAAGGGAAGCGTTTATCCTTATGGACCATGGCGTCCGGAGAGCAGTGTGCAGAGGGGTTCGATTCAGTTCATCTCCCTTTGTGCCGGAGATCCCACTCGAGCATACGCCCCTCATGGGAAGGGCGTGGAGGAACTCTGTGGTTACAGTCAGGACCAGCTTATTCCCCAAATTCCCGTCCTGCCCATTTCTTACGGCGATGCTGCTATCTTCCTGGATTCTCTGGGTGGTCAAGAGGCCCCGCCCTCCTTCAGAGGTGCCCTCAACATCACCTACCGCACAGGACCTACACAGAAGGAGTACAAAGTGAAGATGCAGGTAGACAACCGCTTCCAATCCTCGCCTGTGTGGAATGTGATTGGCAAGATCCCTGGGACTTTGCCAGCCGAACTTGATCAGCCAATTGTCTTGGGCAACCATCGCGATGCCTGGGTGTATGGAGCTGCCGATCCCAACAGTGGAACTGCGCAGCTGCTCGAGGCCGGAGGGTTTTTAGGTTCGCAGTTAGGTTACGCAGTTGTGTGTGGGTGCTGAGCACTCTTCCAATCCGTCGGGTTGGATGCGATGTCGTGTGTCCCGATTGGCAGATTTCTTCATTGTGTCATCCTCAGGTAGCCAAGGGCCTGGGAGCTCTCTTGCGCAATGGATGGCGTCCCCTCCGCAGCATCTACCTTTGTTCCTGGAGTGGGGAGGAGTACGGCCTGCTGGGCTCAACTGCCTGGGGCGAAGTCAATGGAGATGGCCTGGGGCCCATATTGAGAAGGGCCCTAGCTTACTTGAATGTCGACGTTGGTGTTTCAGGACCTCACCTCAGGGCGTCAGGAACCCCATCCCTTGCACAAGTACTTGCAGGTGTGTTGGGCCAAGTCCGCCACCCTGCATCCCAGAAGCCACTCTCAGAGGAGTGGTCCGGGAAGTTATACTCCCTCGGTTCAGGTTCGGACTACACAGTGTTTATTGACCACTTGGGTATCGCATCGCTGGACATGTCCTTCACACCGGGGGATGCGCAGTATGGAGTTTACCACTCTGTGTACGACTCCTTCACGTGGATGGCAACTGAGGGGGATCCAAACTTCACCTACCACGTCGCCATGTCACGAGTGTGGGGCCTGACTGCCTTGCGCCTGGCCGGTTCTGATGTGAACCTGCCGCTGCCTTTGAACCTAACCATCCAGGCCCAGGCGATCGAAGGTTACATCGCCCAGGCCAGGCGGGTTCTCAACCAGACAGCGCCGGAGAAGAAGCTGTGCTTCGATCCCTTGGATCGTGCCAGCGAGGCGTTTCGGCAGGCCGCACAGCGAACGTCAGTGGAGGCTGACCGCCTGAGGAAGCAGGGCCCCGCGGCCTTTGATGAGATTGCAGCGTTCAACAGCAGGATCGGCCTCTTGGAGCGTAGCTTCTTGATGGACTCGGGGCTACCAGGACGCAAGTGGTTTCGGCATTGCCTGCAAGCACCAGGCTTGTACACAGGCTATGCAGCTAAAACTCTCCCAGGCATCGAAGAAGCGATTTCTGCCAGGGACTGGGACCTGGCCCAGTCACAGATTGAGGCGTGTGCTGTCCGAATCACTGCGGCAGCCGCTTCATTAGCGCACCAGAGCGACTTCATCACCGTCTGATGTTTCAGAAAGCCGCATCAAGCACCGAATGCCCGGAGAGAAATCTGTCCAGAATGACGTCACCTAGTTTTGACAAATATCTAGTGTATCCAAGATATTGACTGGCCCATGACACGCACCCTTGCAGGCCCTCTCTGAAGCTGCTGACAGCCTCGTGGCTGGAGAGCTGGCCGGGGACCCTCTCTGGTTCTCTCATGTTCTCTCACACATGGGAGTCTCGACATTTTGGCCAACTGCATGGACAATGTGTCTGTGAGGCACAGATCTACCAGTTGGTGAAGGCAGCTGCCAGTTCTCAAAGTTCTGCTGGTATAGGCCAAGCATTGAAAACTATGGAACAATGCGTTCCCTCCACGTGCCTGCCTGGCAAGGCCAAAAACGAGCGCATCTCAGAAAAAGAGGAGCAACTGCCAAGGACCTAGCTCTTACTTCACAGTCTTGCGAGGGGATTCACATCCATAGTCCGACACCTAAGATTAAACATATATAAATGTCCGCGAGTGAGGCATCACAGCGAGTGCCTCGTCGCAGAAACAGCAGTGGCCCCAAGAGATGCTTGCTGCACAGCTCTTTTGGTTGCCAGTTCCCCTCAGTTCCCATGTCTTCTTTGGATAGTCCACCCCAGAGCTACATCTCCAATTCCACGAGACGAGCCTCTCATCGCACTGCCCTGCCCCGGCTCCTGCAAGGTCGGTGCAGCCAAGGCGGGTGATTCGTGATAAGTTTTCAGATGGGTTTGGATTTGGTTTTGGTGAAATGGAGGAAAGAGCCTTCAGCCCCTGCGGGTATTGGATTGTAGTCGGGGTCCCAATCTGTGGTGCAGGCACACTTGCGCGAGGAAGTTGCGGGCAGCCGAGTGCAGCAGTTGCAACACTGAGTTGAGCTAATTGCGCTTTTCCGAGCAGATGTCAGACGCGCGTAAAGTGCAGATTCAAGCTTCAAGGAGGAGCTGCTGCGCAGCAGCCACAGGGAGCTGAGGAAGGAGGCCTGAGAAGATGCGAGTGGGAACAGCAGGAAGTAAGTATGAATTATAGAGTATGGAGTGGCTTAATCTCAACGGCTGCTCTTTGCCGTGCCTGACGATGAGGATGATAGGGCAGTCGTCTCGAGTAGCGGCGAGTCTGAAGATTGAGGGTACTAATACTAAGGGATGATGTTTCACCCTGGCTTTTCTGACCAGCTTGCAACCAAAGGAGGCTCCGACCACGACAAGTCAGAACGACAATGATTGGGAAAAGCGGTTGGGCAAGCCAAACCCCATTGAACCGCCCGTTATGCCTTAAAACAGTTGCGAGAAAGTCCGACTACCCCTGCCGCCAAAGTATGTTCAGAAGCTGACCGTTCCCATCACCTTTTGACCAAATTTTCCTTGATTTCCCCTAGCACCAAGCATGCGAGTGACCGACAGGGCCGTCTCTTAGGAAGGTTTGCGGGGGTACGTTAGAGAAGCCGGGTATCCTCTCATCCCTGTCCAGAAACTCTACGCTTTCTGGAGTTACGAGTGCGACTGTCGTCTGTGGCCTTGGAGCCACGAACCCGAATGCAGATCCGTAGTAAGTACACGGCAACCAAAAGAGACACGGTGCACGAGATCCCAACTGAAGCGTGTTTCTCTCTCTATTATCTATCTCTCTCTTATCTCGCTCTCTCTCTCTCTATCTCTTCTGCCTCTCTCTCGCACTCTTGTCTCTCCCTATCTCGCTCCCTCTCATCTGTCTTCTCTCTCTCTCTCTCTCTTCCTCTTTTGTCTCATCTCTCTTTCTCTCTCGTGTTCACCCTCTCTCTCCCATTCTCTCTCATTTTGTCTTGCATCTTTTCTTTCTGGTTCTCGCGCTCTCTCTCAATCTCTCTGTCTCATTCTCTCTTTTCTTCTCTCCCCCAATCTCTGTCTCTGTCTCGCTTTCTCTCTTGGATCTCACTCTCGCCTCTCTCACTCTCGTTCACCTCTCCTCTCTCTCTCTCTCGCTCTCTCTCTCTCTCTCCTCTCATCTCTTTTTCATCTCTCTTTCATCCCTCCTCTCATTCGCTCTCTCAGTCTCTCTCTCTCTCGCGCAGTCTCTCGCTCTGTCTCTCGCTCTCTCCCTCTGTCTATCTCTCTCTCTCTCTTCCTCTCTGACTCATTCTCTCATTCGTTCTCTTCCTCAATATCCCTCTTGCCTCTCTCTCTCTCTCATATCTCACCCGATATGCGACACCCAGAAATTCAAGAACACTTCGTAGGTATTCGCCACTCGGCCCCCAATAAGCAAAACTCGGAAACAGGAACACTTTGTAGTTTTGCTTTAACCGCGCACGCCCCAACAATCCAAACCCGGAATCCTGAACACCTTGTAGCTTGTCACCACTCGGAATCAGGAACACTTTGTATGTAGACATTCACTAGTCCCCCCCCGGATATGCAAAACCTGGCGTCAGGAAGACTTCGTAGGTGTTCACCAACCCCCCCCCCCCCCCCCTCCCCCCCCGAAAAAAGTAAAACATAAAAAAGCAAACCTGGAATCAGGAGGCGTGAACACCAAGGCAAAGTTCACAAGTGACGACAGCTACGATGATGGCGAGCCCTACGTGCCTCATCCTCGCAACTGTCAGCACTTTTGAAACTGGAACCATTGACAAGGCTCCAAAAGTGACGACAGTACCGAGGATGGCGTAACCTACATGTCTCATCCTTGTATACTGTCCGCACCTTTGAGGCGTAAACAACAAAGGAATCTTCAAACGTGACGACAGTCACGAGGATGGCGCACCCCACACATTCCTCATCCTCGTGTGTGCAGTTTTGAGACTCGAACAACGAACCAGGCTCTAAACGCGACGACAGTTACGAGGATGGCGTCACCCGCCTTCGCAAGCAGCGGTAGTCAAAAAGTGAGAGGATGGCGCACCCTCCAGGAGACTGTGGGAAACCTTTGGGGCATGCAAAGACCAGCATCATGCAAAAAAAACGCTGGTTTCCCCAACTTCGGAGGCTTCCGAAGCCTTTGCTGCGAGAACGCACAACGCTCGATTCCCGGAAACTCCCCAACCCCTGGAACTCCACCTCTGAGAACGGGAACCCTCCGCTTCGCATTGAAGTCTACAGCTGTTCAGAAGTTTCGGTAGCTGGTAGCTCTGTCTAGGGTATTGTGGTGTGCCTGAATCTCAGGGAAGCTACTGTCATGTCCCGTCCAAAGTTTCGCTACATGTTCTGGAGTTATGAGTTTCTTTTGTGGCTCGCCTCGCTGCCCAATAGCTGCTGGTCCTTGCTTGTGCAGGCGAGGTGTTGTGAGGGAAACCCCCCCCCAACATCCAGTAAGACCTCCCACCACAACGTTGATTTGGAAACGTTTCCTATTTCCCCCCCCCCCCCCCAAATGTGGTGTGGGGGTTGGGGGACAATAGTGTTCCATGCGCAATGGCCCCTGCGCGCGACCGTCCCTTCGGGACTCTCATGGGTACAGTGCAGAACTTGCCCCTCGAATAGCAGGCCAGCGTCCAAAGACGGCGTGCAGACCTCAGCTTCTGTAAAAATCCGACACGATGCACGGCGCCGACCAGTTAAGCAAGGAAGTTTCTTTTTGCTGGTTCCACAGATCCCAGAGCTGGTGTGGCTGGTGTAGCGTGACGCTTCATTGCGGCTCACATCTGCGGCCCAGAATTAGACGAAGGCTGATGTAGTGCTGAGAGGTCTTGAAGACCTCTTCCAAAAAGCTCAGGCCCGAGAGCTTGCAGCTTGAAGCCTCTGAATCTGACTATCGTTAAAGTTGCGCGTTTCTGTGGGCCATGTCAGTGCAGGAGGAATTTCGAAAGGCCTGGAGAGGGACGCTCCTTTTCTTTTGAAGTTCTTGAAATTTGAAATACAGAAGCATCAAAACACCCTTGTGCAAGAGGAAGCAGAGCAACTTTTGGTGCACGCTTTGCTTTGCTTTTTGTGAGGCCGTCGAGTGGCGGCGTGAGGCGCGGACGTTGAAGGCAGGCTTCCACTTCTTTCACGATGACCATCACAGATTCACTGTCAACCCAAGACCCCAATTAGAATTTATGAGCCCCCAAAAAGCAGAAAGCTGAACTTTCTCAGGGGACAGTAAGCAATGAGATTGAGACCCGCGAGAAGCTCCAGAAAAAAGTTCAGGACTGGCTCTTGTAGCACTTCTTTGTAGCACTCGCATCACTTCCTCAAGTCGGGAACTTTTTCTTGAGGATCGTTGCAGGGTCGCACGTAGCCGACGTAGTCAAGCGCATTTGAGATGTGGTGGCTTGCTGGCAGGAGCTTTTGCGGCGAGAGAAGGTGCCTGTTCCAGTGGAAGAGATTTCTTTGCTTTGACACGCATTTAGCAAGTCGCAGGCCGGCCTCTGCCGCTTGACCCCCCACACCTTCTCACATCCCAATGCAGAATCATCAAAAGGATGCAACAAGGCCTCCTCACTTATGCACATCCTGACAGACTGAAACCCGCCATTGCTCCCCAGGACATGTTCAAGATGTTGAATTGGGTTTAGTTTTTGCAAACATATACTCAATGTTTTCTCAAATCACAGAGTATGTGCGTAAAAGAAGCCTATCGAGACTTGGCAGTCAGCTTGCCCTTGCACATGGCTTCTTATCCGTGGCGTGCCGTGTCGAAGCAACTTTGCGCACTAGCCAGCGTGTTGTTGGGGCAGTTCTCATAGCTTGTCTGTTAGTAACGACACAGCTCGCCTTGCAAATTGTTCACGTCATGCTGGCTTTTGAACATGCATCTCTAATTTGGGGAACCGGCGAAAGACTTCAGAAAGAGGGGCCAGGCGTCTTCGCATGTTTAGAGTCATTGAGTTGGGGGAGGGCGCACTACACTACTGAGCACATATGAGCACATGCTCATCTTTGTGTGAGCATGGCATTGCATGCTGTCATATTATCATTTATGCAGAAAAAAGCCTTCGTCATGCTTCGACCATGCAAACCGAAGCTACCTTGTGGCTGAGCTGCTTTCAAAGAGCAGTCCGGCCTAGAATTCCTGGTATGGCGAGCTTGTGGAAACGCTGATGTCTTGCGCGCAGACTTGATGCACAAGTAGGTACAAGTTCAACAGCTTTGTGCATGCTTTGTGCAGATAGTTTATCTTCCACAGGCACTGAAGCAGCAGCATGAGCTCGAGCGAAAGCCGAAAGCTTAGCACGGGATTGCGGGAGGCTGAAAGAGCTGTCGCGCACCGGGTTCTTAGCCAGGATTGCAAACCACTGTCCTGGGCAGAGCCTGATGACTTCCACGTATGCCTGCCGGGTCTTGATCCATTATGATCCTAGGCGCTGGGCTGAGGAGAAGGAGCCGCACCTGATGTTGGGGCAAGATTCTGTGGACTGCACAAGATGCAACGCTCCATGACGCAATAACAGAACAACCTGCAATTGCAGCACGCTTCAGCAGCCGGAGCGAAGGTCTCATCTGCCTTGTGAGTTGTCTGAACCTGCACTTGCGGCGTTGGCGTGAGCGTTCGTGACGTGGGGTAGCCAGAGACCTTCTGCCGCCGGCGCGCGCAGGAGCAGCTTCAAAAACAAGCTTTGCCCGGAGCCTGGTCAGATTTCGTCTGTGAGAGCTTGATTCGAGCAGAGGCACATTTGAGTTGGGGTGGCATATGACAGCATGCTGTTAAGCTTGGAGTCGTTGCGTTCCTCTCGTGGCTCCAGGCATCCACAGTGCAGGGATGCGGAACTGTAGCATTAACTATGTGCTTCATATGTTTTGGCAGCTATCCTAGGTCGTAATAAGGCAGCAGACAGCGCCGCTCAAAATGTCACCAGGTGCCTATAGGTGCTGTCGGTGGATTTAAATGGCCATGGCATGTGCAGATGTGCTGCGCGGTAGCCGCAGTAGTCCCCAGGCCTTCAAGGAATTCGACAGCTTTGACCTACACATGACGCTTCTCGCGCTATGCAAATGCCTTCATCAGTCCGGCCAGGTGCCTGAATCACAGCTGTCCATCGAGTTGCACAAAGTCCGCTTTTCTACCATGCAGCAGATGCATCCAATCGATGCTGTGTGCACCTTCCAGCGGGCTATGCAGTCGGAAAGCATTCTTGCTCAGTGCGCCAGCTATGCCGACCGCTTCTTGGCCATTGAGCTATTCAACACATGCAAGGTCGTGGCCAAGGGATTGAAATCTAATCCCCACTTACTCCCTGGTGTTCACGTGGCCATCGGCCACCAGATGTGGGAATGGCACCCCCGGCCGGGAACCTTGCGCTGGCTTGGCGACTGCATCCCACGAACCCAGACCTGCCACTCCACACTAGCACAACAACGCGACATGGTGGCGATTTCTGGAGGCTGCGCAGCTCCAGTGAACATCCTCAGCAAATAGTCTCAGTACCCCTTGTGGACCTTTGACTGTTGACTAACAACCGACATACATTTGAGTGCTAAACTGCTAAACCCTTCCTGAGCTTGCAGAGCCCTGCTCGAGGTGGCTTTGGGAGTGCCGTCCGGCGTGTGACGAAGTCAGTGTCACTGCTCACGAAGACCACTGGGGCCTGGGAGACCTGGCCACCCATGGTCAAGAAGCGGGAGTCTCATGCCTCGACCTTTTTAAATGGAAAGCTTTATGTCTGCGGGGGCTCGAATGATGAGTTTGCGCAAGACAGGACCGGGGAAGAGGGAGTCCATGGCTCTGTCGAGTGCTTCGATCCTGGCACGAAGTCTTGGACGCAGCTCCCTCGGATGTCCGTTCGACGATACCATCATACATGCACGTCTCATCAAGGCTGCATTGTTGTTTCTGGTGGCATTTCCCCCGATCGACAGGGGGGCGAAGGACCTCTTGCAAGTGCTGAATGCTACGACCCTTCGAAGCAACGCTGGTCACCCTTGCCAGCAATGTCCACAGAACGTGCGCGCCACATGGCAGTCAGCGTCAGCAGCAAACTCTATGTTTGCGGAGGCGCAGATGCCGCAGCTGCATGCGCCGTCGAATGTTTCGACAATTCCCTGCGCTGTTGGGTCCCACTCCCTTCGTGGAACAGGACTGAAGTCCAAACCTGCCTTGCATCAACAGGCTGCCAAGGACAGTTGTACATATTGACTCGAAAGGCTGCATCATGTCAGTCCGACGACACCTGCTTGCAAAGATTTGATCCAAGCACTGGTCAATGGACAGTGATGCCTCTCCAAGTCCAGATACAGTAGTACCAAGCAGCGACCATCGCTCAAGCAGTATGCCCAATTCACAAATTCACTCCAGCATGCTGCCCTATAAGGGATCCTGGGTCTTGCCCATAGCACCGGCTTTGCGACATGGCAGCCGCTGCGCCGCCGGTCGCAGCCTGTGAGGGGCCACGCCCTAGCTGTACAAAGTTGGCTGGTCCGCCTGGCGGATCTTGTCAGTTTTTTTTCAACGTTTTTGTGGTCGACCTGCTTGCTGCAAGAGTTCTGAGCGACGTATCCCTGGGTTGGTAAAGGCGGGTCTGTAAACCTATGGCCCTCTGTCGACAACGATCGACAACGCATGCATCTCTCTCTCTCTCTGTCTCTCTCTCTCTCTCTCTCTCTCTCTCTCTTTCTCTCGCTCTCTCATGCTCCCTCTCTCTCTGTCCGGTGTCTGCCCAGCGTGCCCAGGCTTCAACAAGAGGCTCAGCTGAGGTGGCTTGGGCTGCGTGGGACGCGGGATGTGCGATGCATTGCGATGCATTGACCCTTCACCCTTCTTTTTGCGCATCGACTGATCAAGCGTGATGCACGCTCCATTATGTTGCCATTGGCATGCCCGTCTGATCTCATAGCATACACGCAGTTTGTGCATTTCTCCAAGCAAGACATGTGGCGTGCATGACTCACACCCACCTCAGCCATTCCCTCTGATGCTAGAGGTGCTAGGATGTCATAAGAGCCCTTAGATGCCGTGTGGGGTCCACTGTCCACTGAGCAAGTCCGCAGCACGACATCATAGTCTATGGGGCTGGCCACCCTGCTCTCCGCTTGCTCTGCCTGGGCGTTGGCAGCTGAGCCCGCAGAGTCGCCCATTGAATGGGTAACCCGGCGAAGCTTGGGGAAGGGCTCGGGCTCAGGGCTCTGGACCGCCTCAGACTTTAGGCTTAGCTACTTGGACTGTAGCGGTTGCTGTTGTTGTTATTGCTGCTGTTGTTGCTGTTGTGGTCGAAAGTAGCCCGTCAAAAGGCCGATTCTCACCAGCGTCACTGGACGCGTGACGTGGGTCTACCGAGTGAGTGAGTGAGAGAGTGAGTGAGCGAACGTCCCTCATTCCGAAAGGTCGAACATGCACTGCAAATCAGGGGAGATCTGCAGCATGTAAGTACCGAGTATTCTTGGCAAAATCGTCATGCCCAACACAAGACGTTGCTTAGGCTTTATTCGTTCCTGAGTCTCCATCGACGCCCCCCCACGCCAGGGTGCACGCCTTGCTTCAGACCTGTACGTCGGGGGTTAAGAGTATCGCACGGGATGGTTTCTCTCGCCCAAGCGCAGAATGAGCTTGCAAATTCCTTGCCTGCAGGGTGGGGATGTTCGAAGCATCTTTTTTGTTGTTCGGACGGGTCGTGGGTCAAATCGGTGGCCAGCGCCTGTGTTGTCATGCTCAGCTGCAATCGAAGAAGATCGGAATGTTTACATTGATCATATCTCGGCTTTTGTTCCTGGAGCTGTCGGTCGAGCGTTTGTGTAATGCTTAAAGTATTACGAAGAAACGCATGATGGAAACATGCCCAGAACACGCCTATACATGCCTCACATTGCTGCCCAGATGCTATGAAGGCAAGGCCCCTATTGAGCATGTCACCAAGTAGGCACAAGTGACCCGCAAGCCGCACGTCTGCATGTTCACCGACACGGCTGCTTGTTCCATGGCCAGGTTGTCGGTGCCAGGGATGCCGACTGCGAAACCGTGTGCGCCGCTCTGGATTCCGAGCTGCGCGGCAGCAAGTCACTTGCCCCTATCTTGCGTGGCCTCCGTTGCGTATTCTCTTTCGGTGGCCTTCATGAGCAAGTCCACGCGGGAGGCCCGGAAGCTTCGATTCAGCTTTTGAGGGCTTAGTCTTGGTTTTTGCTTAAGAGCCTGCAAGAAACTGCAGGGGTGGACACGGGTTTGGCGCCTTCTTGAAGAATCCTGTCATGATTGTCCTGTCCCACTGATCGAGTTTATCTGGTAAAGCTACTTGTCTGCGATCCGGCTGAGGCCGGCCCCAGTAATCCGGTCATGGTGAGCGAAGCTCAGGTGTGACGAGGGATCTTGGCCAAGCAGTCCTCAAGATTGGGAAGCTGTAGCGAGCTCTACGTCAGGACCGATGATAGGGTGACTATTTTTACGGCCATTGTTGTGATCTGTCATGGAAGCTCGCTATGATTCGCATGGGCTTCTCAGGACTTCTGTGCCTGGCATCGGCCCCAGGCGGCTGGGTACACAACCCGTCCATCTGCACGGAGGGAGGCCCTGCACCTGGCGATCCTAGGCGGCAAGCTGGGATGCATCAGAAGCATCATGCGAGCAGCCTTCAAAGCACCCTTACATCCCGGCATCGGAGGGGATGTTGACGGGCTGAATCAGCTACCAGGTTTGCTTCTGGGATGGTGGCTGCTTGGATGAATTGAATGGTGCGGGCAGCAGCCTTGGCGGATGTGTTCTCCCAACATTCAGGTGGTGCCCCGCGCTGCCGGGGTGGGATGGGGCAGTTCCCCTCCACCGTGGCCCGCAGGATATGTCCATGCAGGCAGAAAGAGGCCTGCGACATTCCAAGACTTCTTGCTAGGCTTAAGTATGAAGAGTCACGAGTTCTAAAAAACTTGCGAAAGGCAGAGGAACACAGTGCCGCGGCAACAATGTCCTTGCTCAATGCTGCTGCCGGAATCCTACGGGCGATGGAAGCTTGTGGCCGTAGGAGAATCTTCTTTGCTGCGCCCGCGACATAAGCCAAGGTCCTCACATCTGCATCAAAAGTAGCCGTCAAAGAGCCGCTCAAGATCCCTGCCGAGCAGCTTGGGCACCGTCTCATTTTTCTCAAACTTCGTAGGGCCCAGCTTTCCGTGAGGAAAACCAAAAAGCAGGGCGTGGAGATGCATTGAGGTATGTAGGAGGCTTGCCACATGCAGACTCTGGTGTGACATGGTTGGCCCGCCTGGCCAGGGTGCAAAGTCGGTTCTGCTCGAGAAACGGAGGCTGCAAGGCCAGCATCTGACATCGTGCTAGAAGCATCTTCCCATGAGGCCCTCATAGACCCAGAGGGTTGTCGCCCTGCTTCAAACTGGGACAGCAGCCACATCAGTGCAATGCCAGGCTGCGCCCCGTTCTGCTGATTGGTTTGATCTTCTCTGGGCCGCACCTGGCACCTTGTCCACCAATAACGCGCAGCCGCCTGCACAGTCTGGTTTTGGCAGTTTATGTAGAGAGTGCAGAGGGGGGCATGGAAGGATTTTTTTTGGATCGTTGGCCTCCTGAGGCTCACGAGGCCGAGTGAGACGTGTGAGGATCTTGGCTGCGTCGCAGCTCAGACGATGAGAGTCTGTTCGGAGGAGTTTCTCCTGTCCAGCGAAGACTAAAAACAGTCAAGTGAAAAGCGCTCCATGCCAGACATGTTGCAGGCTGCATACAGGAGTCGGGTGACGCATGGCCAGTTTGAGTGCAGGCCGTTTCTCGAAACCATGGGAGACCAGTTGATGCCCCACAGTCCTGCCCCCAAGATTCTCTGCGACTACCATCCATGGCTTTCTAAGTCTTTGCACTGGCAAGGCCGTGCCCCGCTGAGAGAGCCTGCCTGGACCCCAGCTTCGACAGCCTGATCTGTGCATTGCCCTTCTATGCCAGGACTTTCTGCAGACACATCCTGATGCTTCACCCTCGGTTTCAGAACGTAGTCAGAACATCTCAACCTCAAAAACTGGCCACTCAGACTGCTCATCAAGATGGACAGAAGCCAATTTCAGTCTGCATGCTTTGACAAGTGAGTTTGACAAAAACGTCAACTTAATTGGTCAACTCACTTCTTGATCTGGCACAGTGCTTTCACAAGAGTCTTTTCGGAGTGGAATTGCAACTTTAACATAACAATCCGTGAGAGGCAGTGGCTTTTGCTTCTACAATCTGTAACTTCGTAACTTAGCCTTTTGTGTAGGGATGGACCACGCCATCTGGCTCAACTCCGCAGGTTTCCTTGCGGCGGAGCCAAGGCGTCGCCCCTGCTACCAAAATATGTCAGAGACGGATGAAGAAGCTGAAAGGGCCTCGCAGTTGGTGTGCATTCTGGTTCCATAGAAGGTCCATCGAATTCATCGGAAATTCCGGCGCGCACTCGCATGACCCTGCAGCTGGATGAGGCATGGATGTGAACGTTTGTGAGTCTCATTGCGAAGTGCTCTTAACACAAAGCTCTGCGCGTCAGCCCGTGAACAGCGAAGACCCGCAGGCGTCACTCTCAGTGTCAGGGCGCTTCGTTGTTGCATCGAGTGGAATGTTGCCAAAGTCGATGATATGAGAATGCAGTGGAGACTACGGAGATCATGCAGATGTTGCATTACAAATGCTGACTCGTCGCAACGGGCTCTTCTATTATGGAGCTATATGGGGTCCTGCTTTGTCGCTGGCTAGAGTCCAGCGCGGTAGAGTAGCCGAGATCCAGCTTTGTGTGGGACGCACAGCAGTGAAGCACCGACCTTAAGGAAATCAGTTCGTTTGTCTTTGGCACTCCCCACTTCTCAGTTCGACCCGGACGAGCTGTTGTACCATGCTGTCGATATGCCGGCGACCTGGTGCCTACTCATCGTGAGGAGGTGCATGGGACGGGCCCAGTTTCTGACTTTGGCGCAGCAGGGACTTATTTTGAAAGTTTGCGGCCGCCCATAATTGTCTGCCGTTCTTTGGTGCAGCAGTCTGTTGTTGCTCTTAGGTGGAGCTCCCACGGTTCGACGTCCACTGCGCGGTGGGCAAGGCCACACCGCGAGGCCCAGTTCCTCTCACAAGCATCATCTGCAGAATTATAGGGTTTGGAGATCTTTGGCTTGCACATGCACGATCTAGCACGGAGATGGAAGGTGGGACCCTCGCCGCTGAGCTTGGTGTCTGCCTGGTGGTCAGTGGACACTGTCATGGCCGAAGCCTTGGTGAAAATTATAATATTCGGCCGGCCCGATCCCGGTCCAAGAGCGTTTTCAACCAGCAGAAGAAAGATTTGGGGCCCGTATCCCAAACTTCGGCTGGCTCAGAATCCGATGTTTTCTGCAGATTGCTTTAGAGTTGAGTTGCGGAGAACCTCGTTTTCATTAGAGGTGGCGAGAAACAACTCCAGAGGATTCAGTCTGTAGGGCTTTGCTGTAACTCCAGAGGCTCAGACGGAAAGTATTTTTTTGGAGATAGTTGTGGCTCAGACAAAGTAAGGAATCCTTTTCGGGTCCTGGATTGCCAGAGTCAGAGCGGTTTCCGTACTTGAATCCTTATCCGCAGGAGCCTTAAGTTTATGTGGGCCTCTTGACAACAGACCAGACCCCCAGACCCCAGAACACTTAATTGCCGGAAGGAAGAAAGTTTTTTTTGGGGATTCATGAATGTCACCCAAACATTATACTGGACTAGCATGAATCATTTTCGGCAGATGTTGACAGCAAGTTGCCACCGGTGCAACTGAGACGACAGCTGATACCACCACACCGTCAAGCTGGTGGCATATTGCCGAGTGCACAATAAGGCCCTGGGCCCACGTGGACTTTGGGGTTGCGCGACACTCCTTGTGGCGGAGCTTCTTGGTGGCACAGGATTCGTTCCACGGAATGTCCGTCATGCAAGATAGGTTGCTGATTGCACTCCGCCCGCGCATTGCAAAAGCTAGGGCTCCCTGACAGCGTCTGGTTCGGTTTCAGTAGGCAACATTCCCAGGCCTGTGAAGAATCAGGACGGGTCAGCTGCCAATGCTCCAGTCAACAGCAGCAATCTCACAAGATCGCACCTTCAGGGATGTTTGCATTCAGGTCAGGTCTGACCAGTTGTCAGGCAATGTCCTTGTCCAGACAGAATGTGCGTGTTCCACTCAGCTTTGACGCTGTGGCCATTCCAGCATCTCCTTTGACGTTCTAGGCTAAGGGTAACCTTCAGCAAAAGGAGTGCAAAGGCATAAGCTATTCGGAGTCACCGAGTCACCCTCACCATCCTTTCAGCACGTTGTGCGCATTTTTGCGTGTCGTGGGTGTCCTGGTCTCTCATGCCTAAAGAGTTTGCACGCCATGGCGAGCGACAAGCAGGTACTAGCTGCGCTCACGATGAAGACTGGAGGAGATGTCCGCTACTTCGAGCTGGTGCAGCTGACCTGTGGAGATGACCGCCGAAAGTGCTACGTTTGCGTGGGCAAGCACTCCCTGTTCTTTTTGAGGCAGGACTTGAATGGGCCCATCCATGAAGGCGCAGATGTCTTTTTCAGTTCCATCGCTCGAATACTTCAAGACGAGAATTCCGACCAGCACTGCATGCTGTCACTGACTGAGGAGTTGCCCGGCTGGCCCTCTGATAGGTTATTCCTCAAGGCGGAGAATCGCAGCCTTTTCTTACGGCACTTGCGGTGCAATTGGCAGACTGACCACATGTGGAGGCTAGGTCGCGTGGTTATGTTCCCATTAAGCATTCATCCCATCACGAAGGAGACTGCTTACGATAATTACGTGGCGCCGTACCAGGGATATCGCTGGACAAAGTTTCAGGGATACCGCTTCATGGTGCCAGAAGGTTTTGTTGATCAGGCCAATTCCATTCAAGAGTCCGAGACAGGAGAGTATGTCAACGAGCAGGGCGTGAACCTTGTTATTCATGTGCATGAGGCGTTTAGCCTCGAGCAGCTGTCGCAGATGAACAGGGACAATATCAGATGGGTCGCTGCCGACTACAAAATGCAGTTGTGTGCACAGGAACCTCAGTTCTACGTCTTAAAGAATGCTCCGCGGGACAAGCATATGAATCTTTCTGCTGACGTGGCGCAGTGGCACCAGTGGGAACTCCTAATCCGAACCCGATCTGCCACAATTATTTGTCTCATCATGCGCCGACAATACATCCCACCAATTTGCTGTGCTGCGCAAGACATTGCAATCCTCCTCCGCTGCCCTGAGGAAGAGTGGAAGAGTGCGGAGTTGCCGCTCGTGCTGGAAGCATACCGGATCGCGGATTCGCTTTGCACAGATGCGCCGAACGTTTCAGTATACCGTGACATGGTGCAAGCCAAGCTTGACACTCTCCGGTTTAACGAAGAAGGGGCCGAGTGGGCAGCAGCGCACCTCAAGATAAAGTCTTGCTGGGAAGTCGAGGCTGTCAGGTTTGTGAAAAGCCTGTGGAAGCTGTTCTGCGATGATAAGGTGGAAGGCTATGACCCTCAAGTCCTTGAGCTGTCTGCTCAAGAGGTGCTGGTGGACGCTGGTCCCGAAGGCCAGTGGGCCGAGCTCGAGTGTATTGACAATTTCCAGGACTTTTTCCTCAAGATCATGAACGAGGGGGAGGGTCTGCCTTCCGGCATTCAAGCGCAGGCTCTTGACGAAGAGGCCGGCGTCTTTCTGTGTTTTGCTGTAGCCATCTGAGGCGTGAGGTCGAGTGGGGACTCATGCAAGCTAAGGCCAAGCTCAAGATTCAGCACGGCTGGCTCGCCCGCGTTGCTCGCTACTTTGCTTGGGCAGTGGATGGTGGGCTTTTGGGTGCGAGGTTTAACTTGGATTTATTGATCGAAGGACCCATGTAGCCAGGCAGTCATGCAATAGGGCCACTGTGAAGCAAGTTGAGGAGCAAAACATGAGCTCGTTATTCAATTCACATGCCTCTGCAGGACTTTCGGCATTGACCGAGGAGAGCTACAAGAAAGCCTATGCGGCCTTCCTCTTCCTCCTGCATCTGCGAGCCAGGGATATGACCAAGCCATTCCTTGAAGTAAGTTTGACCCAGCAGATGCGCGGTCGAAACTTGTGCCAGTGGACCTTCAATGACAGGGTAATGCTTGCAGTCTTGAGCACGGACTTCCTGAAGAAGCAAATAGGAAAGGGTCGTGATGCGGACTTCTTTCGCTGTCTGGCGAACCTTTTGGAGGCAGGCTGCGGGGTGACCTTGAAGGCTTATATCTGCAGACTTTTCATGGAGATGAAGGCGTCGCGCGAAGCCGACGCCAAGAAGGATGACGATTCTTCCGCGAACCTCATCGTCGTCCCAGCCATGCTTTCGTTGCTCAGGACGGGGGGCGCCTTCCTGGCCACCTATGCGTCGGCAGCCCTGGTGAACCTGAGCAGCGGGAACCAGGCCGTGAAGATGCTGCTCATGGGCCAGGGGATGGCCAAGATTGCAGTGCAGAACATGCAAGCCAAGGAAGATGACCTCAGCTACTACACCTTGATGTTGATGGTAAACTTGACCAAGGAGCCACACAATCGCAACGTCATCGCTTCAGCAGGGCTCATACCCATCCTCTACGACATCATGACCTCTTCCTATGCACAGGTCCGGCCCACCGGAAAAAAGGCGCAGGGAATGAGCACTGCAGCCTTGGGCAGCATTGCCAAGGAGAGGCTGCTGACCCAGACCTGCATTGTGATCGGGCAGTTCTGCAATGACGACCGCTTTCGAGAGCAGTTCATCGCCACTTCGGCCTTCATTCTGTCGTTCTTCCTTTCTTTCTAGTTGCTCGCTTCTTGTTCCGAACAGTGTGGTAGTGCTTGTGGGCTCAGCGCGAGGCATCTCGGAAATTGAGGCATGCTTGAGTTTGGTCGGAATCTGTGCGACTGCTCAGGACCTCTACCCTCATACCGTGAAGTGCTTGATGTACATCTTCAACACCGTCCGGATGGGATGCACACTGTGCAGCAAGGTCATGTTTGCGCTGAAGCAGCTGTGCGCTAGTCGAAACGACCAGAAGCACTACATTGGAACACGAGTTATACCCCACCTGATTGAAGGGTTGACAGATCACGACACTGATATGAACTTAGAATTTGTTTACCAGTCGTTGTTGCTGCTCATCATGCTTTCAGGCTTGCCTGCCAACAGCGAGCTTATGTACAAAGAGGGCTTGGTGCCTGTGTTAGAGCAGATCAGCAGCCATCCATCCGCAAAGCGCAGCGATGGATTTCAGGCACGTGTCTCCATTCTACTTCACAGCATGAGTGACATAGCAGCTGCAGACAACCGTTGATGAGGAACAGCCTCAGCAAAGGTTGCTCAGCCATCGGACAATCGCACTTGTCTCGTTAATTCTTTGTACGGGAAGCACGCCTGCAGGGACTCTCCTGAAGAGTCAGCCGTCCCTTCCAGGAACCCGTAGGAAAAGCAGAGGAGTGAACGGCTAAACCGCATTCTGCTTTGTCTGCGGCTTACCCGTTTTCATAGTCGCTTGTGCGTTCTTTTTGTAGAAGTACTGCTTTATGGGTCTATGTGACCTTTTTCTGGGCATGGCGTTTGCTCATCGTTTCGAGCTTCCGGGTTGATGTCCGAGTAGGTGGCCAAGTATCCATGATGTCATATCCATGATGTCAAGAGAACCAGGAGCTTCAAAGCTGGTTCCTCCGCCGCTGGGTGTTGAGCTCAAAGGGTCAAAGTGTCTTGCATCTCTGTTTTCGCTGTGCTGCTTAAGTTTCCCTCATTCTTGGGCTCGCTAGCTGGTCCATGGATGTCTCGCAACTTCGGTTCCGGCCTCTCTTGTAAAGGCTTCCACAAGGCCAACAGGGGTTCAGTCACGGTTGAGCCCGATTAGCTTGCAGAGTTGGGCAAGTTTCGGGAGTCTAGGTGTGGCCAGCTGAGGTGAAGGCTGAAGGTCCCAAGACACTGCTTCGCTGTCTTTCCAGGTATGGCACGCGCTACAAGCCGATGCCCAGAGTATTTGGCAGCTGGCGGCCGAATCAGTCAAGGCCCTTACTGCTCCTTGAGCCAGCTTTGCCAAAAGAGGACTTGGAACTCGACAGCTGGTATCTTGCATTGGTTAGTCCCGACACTGGCAGTTGTTGCGAGGATCTTATGATCGCAACGTGCACGAAGTGTGGAGCAAGTGTTTCAATCCGTTCCCCCTAGTCAACAGGTGAGGCAGCAGCAAGTCCAGCTTAGCGCAGCCTGATGCTTGAATCAGTGACCGGAGCCACCGCTGCCATCTGATGTGCCAGAAGTCAGAAATGTGAGACACATGCCAGGGCTAAGATCAGATAGTTGCTTTTATGCCGCGCGTTGCTGCAGAAACTGTACGCCGTCGCAAGAAGACACATGTTGGCCACCAGTGTCCGAGGAATCGCCAAGGGTAGGCCACACCACGGCACACCCAAAGCCTGCAGACCCACGTCGCCTTCCTTGATCCTTTGATACTTCTTAAGAATTTCTTCATGTGCTCGGCCCATGGCTTCGGAACTGTCGGTGCATCTGGGTAGGTTGGGCGCAGAGTCGCCAGCAGAGGTGCGGGACGGTTTCGTGCAGTTGCTGGGGGTACTCAAGCGGGCACAGAAGGAGGACGTGGTCCAAGCATCCGTCTCGGAACATGTGGCCGCTGCAATGGAAAGTCATTCGACCAGCTCGGAAGTGCAGCGTTGGGCAGCTGCCGTATTGCAAGAGATGTTCCAACGCTTTGAGATGGTTGGCCAGAAAGACCTAGCTCTTCTTCTGCATGCAGCAGCTGCGCATGCAAGCTCTTTGGACGTTCAGCGATGGTGTTTTTCGGCGTTGCTATGTGCCCTTGAAATTGATGGGGCAGATGAGACGTCCGACAGTACTGTTATAGCTTGTACCTTACTGCAGGAGGGCGTGCTGGACGTGCTAGCTTCTGCTTTTCGGGCCCACGATTCGCCGTCGTTGCTGGAGAGGGTCGCTTCCTTGCTGGCTGCGTTGGTGTTAGAAGGAGGAAGTGATGCCGCTGATGAGGCTACGACGACTGGCTGTTTGGCCTCCACACTGGGCACTTTGCAGCTGACGGTGGGCAAGGCAGACTCGGAAGAGGCTTCTGCGCTTGTAGAGGACGTGCCTCTTCAGCTTGCATGCTTGCGGGTTCTTTGGGCAGTTTGTGAGTCAAATGAAGAGTTGGGTGCGACAGAGATTGCAGCTAAAGATGGCTTGGACATCGTCGTATCGATCCTGCAGCAGAATGGGCTGGCATCTGAATCACCTGAGATTCGCAAGTGGAGTGCCAGCGTTCTTCAAGTGCTCTTCGCGCATGGAGGAGAGCTTGTTGTTGAAACTGCGGTGCAGTTAGAAGTGGCAGAAGCTCTGGTCATGACCTTGGCATGCAGCTTGAACGACCTTGAGGTCGTGGAGCGGTGCGCGGCTGCATTAGCAACCATGTCTGGATTCAGCGACGAGGCCGGATTAGCAGTAGCGGAAGCCGGAGGTCTCGGTGCCGTTGAAGAGGCTGTCGGACGTTATGGCTCTGAGAGGGACTTGGCGCAGTGGTACCTGGCCTTGCAGCAAAGCCTTGAGAGCCATGGCTCCCCGGGCTCGAGCCCAGGCGCCCCAGGCACCCGAGGCCCAGGCCTCATCGCCCCGAACGCCCCAAGCAGCGAGGTTCCGGAGGCTCCGGAGGTTGAGATCGAATTCTGAGACTAGGATTGAGAAGCGCCTGCAGCGAGCGGGCTTTTCTTTGTCATGGCCTCCGTGATCAGAGTATCCGGGGGCGTTTCACCCACAATTCATCACAAATGCCATCATGCTCTCGACATCAGAACCAGTCAGCTGAACCACAAGTTGATGGAAAACAAAGCATCAACCAGAGCGCCATCCCAGCAAGCACGTGGGGTCAAGCCCCCCTGCAGCAGGTCCGGAAGAGTGCGCCGCCCCTCCCACTTGATCTGCCTGGCCTGAAGCTACATCCTGAGACAGATTTTTGGGCGAACATTTAACGCCATGGGGTGCTATGGGGGAATATGGAGGAACATGGGGTATCATGATTCTCTTCCAGTCGGGCGGGGAAGCCTTTCCTGAGGCCGGAGGCGTTGGACCTGCTCTCGTGGCTCCCAGATCCACATCGGCGAGTCGGGCTTCTGCCAAAGCCCGGGCCGAGCACAGCATACGATACAGCAGGGATCATACTGGCCTGCTGCCCAAATGAGGGATGGTTCTGGGTTGTTCAACACCGGTTCTGCAAAAGAGGTGCTTGTAGAAGGTGCGTCTATGAAGCCCTGATCTAGCACAACAACTCCATAGTGCATCCGAAAACCGCCCCACGTTGGCACAAGCGGGCTGGGTTGAGACTTGCCTGAAGAAGCAGCATCAAGGAAGATGTCAGATCTCAAGGCATGGGTCGGAACATGAGGGCCCTGATTCTGAACCTGCAAACTCAGCTTTAGATCTAAATTGCAGCTGGACCGATCCCTGTTCGCCGCATGCGTCCTTCGAACGTGATTGTGGGCGACATGGCCATTAGCTGCGGGGACCTCAGCTGCCGTTGTCTTGCGATGGCTCGGATGATCTCAGATGCCTCACATGCTGAGCTGGAGCTCAGGCGCATGATCAGCCTCCCGGGCGAGATCCCTGAAGGATCTGACGCCTCACCTAGCTCCAGCTCCATTGGCTCTCTGGGCTCCCTTGGTTCCCCTTCCGAGGGCGATCCGGTCTTCAATGCAGATCGACTGATACACAAGTGGTGTTGCAGGCCAGAATGACATGTTTGCCTTTGCTTTCTATCTTGAGTGTCACCGGAGGACATGCGCAGGGGTCGGGTTTCCGTATTTGTGTTGCGCAGGTTGGGTCGACAGATCGCCGCCTTTGTGTTTCACTGAGTTCTAGTTACTAGTTGCCCGAATTCTCCCCAATTCATCCCATTTTCTAGTTGCCCTAATTCTCTCCATTTCATCCCAATTTCCCGTCAGAGCAGGCAGCTTGGAGATCTCCTGAGCAAGCTCTCCCTTGAACCCGAGGGGGCACCATTTCTTGTGCCAGTCAATTGGCGAGAACTGGGCTTGGATGACTACCCGGATGTTGTTGAGACGCCCATGGACCTCCACACCATTAGCAAGCACCTGGACTGCGGGCACTACGATGATGTAGATGGCTTGATCGACCCAGAGTTGATTTTTAATGACATATCCCTTTGTTGGGAGAATTGCTTGCATTATTTTGAGAACGATGCCGAAGTCGAGGCAGTGCAGATGGCGCTAAGCATGTCCTCTGTAGCGGAGAGCTTAGAAAGAGAGTTTTGGGCTGACCTCGCGGCATTCGAAGAATCCCTCGAGAAGAGCCCGTTCAAGACCAAGATGGCTATAGCTGCATCAATCATGGGGGACACTGCCAAAAAGGTGGCCAAGCGGAGCCGGCGCAAGACGACAGTCCTTGCCAACGATATGGTAAAGTATGCAGCAGACTGGTGGCAGGGAAGCCGCCACGAGTCGCCCTTCTGGAGCTCGCAGGACCGGCACCGTGATCACTTGATCGGTCGGGCATGGCCATCGCGATTCAAGCGCGCAATTGCAGTTGTTCGGGAGACCGTTCGCAGAGTTCCTTTGTCTCCCAGCTGCCTTATCTCTCGTTTTCTTGCGGGTGGTCCTTGGCCGCCATTTGCGAGATTCTTGTTGAGAAGCTTTGCAGCTTGGTGGCCGGTGCCCCATCCGAGGTCGCTTCTCAGCTCAGAGCAGGCCATTCAGACCTTCCTCAAGCCCTTGGCAGAGTCAATCCTGCGCACCGCCTCCTCATTGTCCATGCCATCAGGCCATCAGGGTAACTCACAGTGCAAGTCTAGAGTGCGTGAAACCTTTCAAACCCTTCTGCTTGAGGCGTCCACATTGTTCACGACACAATTGCCGACATCCGTGGAGAGTGGATCCTTCCAGACTCGGTGGAGCCGCACACCCATTCAGCACAGGTCCTTGTGTGGGCTCATGGTGGCGGGTTCGTGCTGTGCTCTCCAGCCACACATCGCTTCTTTCTTGCGAAGATTGTGGTGCACACTGGCGTGCCAACCTTCTGTGTTAATTTCCGGAAGCCTCCAAGTCACCCATTTCCAGTGCCTAAGAACGACATCATTGATGTATACAAGGGCATCATCGAACGCGGCACTGCTGACGCCATTTTCCTTGGGGGTGATAGTGCTGGAGGCAACCTCGTCCTGTCGCTTACCCAGGAACTTGCGCAAAACGCAGAGAGCGTGGAGAACCCTGTGCCGCTGCCGGAAGGTCTAATTCTGCTCTCCCCCTGGGTGGACTTGTCTGACACCTGTGAGGAATCGTGGCAGAAGTACGCAGATGTGGATTATATTCCAGCAAAGCAGGCAGAGGTCATAGCCGGGATTTATGCCAAAGGCATCCCGCTTCAAGACGTTCGGGTTTCACCAGGTCGCTGCAAGCGTTGGCCTGCGTCCTTTCCTCGAACCCTGTTGGACTATGGTGGCTGTGAGGTTTTCCGTTCGCAGATTGAGCGACTGGCCAGCCACATGAAGAGACATGGCGTTGAGCTGGACGCCTTTGTAGAGCACGGCATGGTTCATTGTTATCCTCAGCTCGAGCACCTTTGGGGTCCTGATCCCGGCGGACCATTTGACAACTATTTCCGGCGTGTTTCGACTTTCTTGGCGATGAAGTATTTCTGAGGCTTTAGGATACATGCGTTGAAAAAGAACTTTGCATAACAAGCGGATGCTTACCCGCCACCAAGAGTAGCTGGCATGTCATACTGGCATGTCGTTAACACGAGGCCTTGTCGGACTTGACATTGGGTCATTGGGTGCATGCACCTTGCCTTTCTCGTGGCTGCTATCCTGCCACTTATTACTTTCTCGATTTCTCATGGTGCTGCTTACTCTGTTGCTCCAGTACATCCCCTGCGACACAGTTCCCCCTCGTTGTGATGATAGAGGTGCCGGGTGTGGCTCTACGTAGAGTCTAAGCTCAGCAGAAAGGTCGGCATTGTTCAGTTTTGGATTGTCCATGTTGGAGGCTCCGGCGTCAGCTGCAGCCACTGATTGCAGCGACCACGGCTCAGAGGTTGAGAGTCTCTGCAAGTTTAGGGTTTAGGGTTGGGGTATAGGGTTCAGGGTTTGGGGTTTGGCGGACATAAGCTTATTTGTGCCAACAGCACTGATAGGCTTGTCTGACGCTTGCTCCGGCTCGAGAGTCCCACACCAGGGTTTGAAAGTTGTTGTCAGAAAAAAGTCAGGGCCAAGTCGTTGAGCTGACGACATGGAATTGCTTATGAAACCCTCTGATTCTTGAACATCTAGTAACCACATGAACAACAAGATCGATCAATCACATTTTTTGGCGGCAGTAAGGAATCTGGGATAGAAGCTTCGCAGCTGATATGGTTGGCAGACGTTGGCGGGCTACGGCCAATACGAACACGTTAAATCAGGCTTTGGTTCATGCGCGGCATTGAGTTAACCTCATATCAACATGCAGAATAGGAAATAAGCCTAAACCCTAAACCCTTCTTCAGTTGCCCCGTGGAGCATGGCTAGACGGGTGGCAAAACACCCTAAACCCATACGACGTTGAAAGCTGCATGAAAGCGGCATTCCGCCGAGCTCCTAGGCCCGACGAGGTCGTGCCCAACGATGCCGATCTGTCGTGCTCCCAGGACCGTCCCAAGTTGCCCAGAAAAGCCGACACGCCCAACTCAGTTGCAGGTTCAGGGCCTGCAGAGTTTTTAGAGTCTTTTGAGTGGACTGTCGTGTTTTTTACAAGGCCTCGAGCAATTAAAGGTGAATTCCTTTGAAGATGAAGGGTGCTTTGCCTGAGGCTCTGGCTGCGCCCAGCTTCGGCCCAACTTGCTGTGGCTCAGGAGGGAACACGCAGCTTGAGCATGATGCTCTAAAGCGTCCACTTGGAAATCTAGTTATGCTGATTCGCGTAATTACGATGGGTGACAGCGTTCAGCATCGGCTTGCTGGACACCAGGCCTTGTGGAAGGATGTTCGACAGCAGCTTCTGTCTTCAGAGAGGGTGCGGCCGGCCCTGTTCAACCTGATTAGTTGATCTGCTCATGATGCCTGTTCTTGGCTGTGTGGTGAAAGAGGTACAGTAGCAACAGCAGGCTGTGTAGTTCACTTGTAGCTGCCAGCCTTTGGAGAAAAGGCACTTGAGAGAAGCGACGAGAGGCATCTATTTCAACTGGAGAGAGCAATCAACTGCTTTTAGGGTTTAGGGTTTGAATCTTATAAATCCGAAGCCGCATTCAGAGAAGACCTGGCAGAGGCATTACGTCAAGGTCTTGCGGAGTCGCCCGGGCTCTCAGGGTGGGAGATGAAGCACATACTTGGCATACGAGTTTAAGGGTTACTAAGAGTTCCTTGGGGCCTGTTGGGGGCATCGTCCGCTTTGTGAGCAACAGGTCGGCGATGGCAGAGGCGCGCAGTTTTGAACACGGGAATGCGTGGGGAGCGTGCTCATGGTGCTCATGCAGGCTTGCATAATTAGATGCCGTTGTTGAGCTGGTGGGGTCAGGTGGCCAGGACTTTGCTCAGCGTGGCCGCCCTGTCGCTGGCCGTGTCTCCCGGTGACGGGGAGGCCTTGCAGTGAAGGGCAGGGTCGGGAAAGGATTCAAAGATATTCTAAGTGAACTCTAACTCTGGACCGGGCCGAATCGACGTGCAAGGCCTGCACATGATTGCGCATCTTGTCAGGCAGCTCTTCGCGCCTTGGCACGGCTTTGTGCAGGCCTACTTATCAGACCTCCTTCTGTCTCCTCTCCCCATGCATCTTGCGCCATACGCTTGCGGACCCACGTTGGGCCACGACACCGCAGCAGTGACACGGCTTCCGCTACTGTTGCATCTTCAAATCTTTCTCCGGCCGCTTGGCATTCTATGTTTGCTGCAGGACATGCAGATGATCTTGCGTCGCAGCTGCCTGATGCCTTGCCCCCAAGACTAGCAAGACTGAAAGTCCCAACACATCGAGAGTGAGATTGCTGAAGGCGAATGCAAGAAACTGCTGAGGCGATGCCAGTGCTGCTCTGGCTTGTCAACGACTTAGATCTTTTGGATTCTTTTGGGTCAACCCACTTCAAGTGATTCAAAAGCCTCCTCACCCCGCACCAGCTGCAGAATCAAGTGCTGAAGCTCAGGCTGATGTGACGGGAGCCACGGGCAGGTGCTTCGCAGTGTTGCGCAACATTGAGAGCTTGCAGCTGGAGGTGGGATTCAGTAGTACCTTCACTTTCAGAAAGAGGCTCCACGAGGCTACTGGGAGCTGTAGCAAGGACATACAAGCTCAGACTCAGACCTGCTGCTACCCTGTGAGACCACTGCCCAGCACGATAGGACAGGCAAAATCCACAGGTCAGAATTCAACTTTCGCATCATTGCATCTATCCTTCCCGACCACCCTCCTGCAAAAGGAGACGGGACCCCACAGTTGTGCCATGACCTGTCGCCCGTTGCCATGGCGCGCGAGCCCGATGACAAGGAGGTGGAGCTCTATGACAAGCTCGTTTCCCGTTGCATGCGCTGCATTCAGATTTCATTTTGTGAGGGTCGTAGGGCTTGGGCCTGGGCACGTGCATGCTCTCAGTAGGGGGCGAGCGAGGGGACACTGCAAAGGGATGGTGGAGAGCGAAAGCGAAGAAAGCAAAGAGCCATTCCGACCCGTTCCGCGAACAGTGCGCCTGCTGTCCATCATGCCGACACACTCTCTTCTGCTTCCTCGTGCCGCTTCTTCTCTTCTAGCTGCAGCCTTCAGCCGCGCGACATGGATGTGCAGCGACGTACGGCATGTGCGAAACCGACTCCACTAACTCACAACACCCCTGCGCACCCACCGTTCAGAAGAATGGGCTCTGCAGGCAGGGCACACCGCTCAATGCAAGGTACTGTTCCCCACCATTCAGTGCAGGCACCAGCTGTGGCAACATGTGGCAATCGGCTGTCGGCTCGCTGTCTTGTTCTGCGCAATTTTGTTCATACTATGTTTTTCTATGTTTCTCTACTTGAACCCGTAGTTAATCTTTATTCTGACCTAGCAGCTCTGCTGGTATTGGGCATGCAAGCTGGCAGTTTTGCGTTGGGGCGAGCTGCACTGAAACTCTGATGGAGCAAGTTTCTCGGTTTAGGGTTCTGGGATTAGGCCTTGGCTCACAGGGATATTATCGAGGCGGGCGAAGTCTCTTGGAGAAAAGGGGTTGGGGATGTTGAAGGGCTAGGGTTTAGGTTTAGGGTTCACCGAAGTAGACCTCGGTGGTGCATGCTTGCCAACCCGGCAATTGTATGCGCGTAATGGAAATGCCCACTCACCCAGAGAATTCCATAATATTCAGAAACTGGAAAGTTCCACATTATCTATTTCTTGACATGCGCAAGATGCACAACATTGTTGCCCTTCGTGATGCGGACGTTGCGTGAAAAAAATCGAACCAGCACCTCTCCCAGTGAGGGAACCAAAGAGACAAGGACAGAGAAGTAGGTCATTAAGGTTGAGTGTCCAGGGTTTTTTGTGAGATCATGGAGTTCTTCTCGTTGTTGCAGGATGTCAGCCCGCACCCATTCACGATTATCAGCGAAATTTGGTGACATGCTTTCTGAGGTGAAGGACTTTCCTGCGGCGTGTTGGATCCAGACTTTGCGGACCCACTGGAGGGAAAGCTGGAGTTGGAGAGGGGCTTCCGGTACACCATCGAGTTGGAGTGTGAGGATGAGTCGTTGAACTTCTCTCGCGTGGTCGGGTCCGTGCGCTGTGAACCGAGAGATGGGCTCAGTGGCTTCGGCTTGGCGATCATGGAGGTCCCGATTCCAGGTCCTAGCGGTCAAAGCGGTCAAAGCTCATCCTCTCAGGAAATCCGTGTCTTGGTGTTCACGAGCGAACTGGACCGAAACGCATTAGCGAGTTTGCTCGAGAATCTGAAGACGGATCACCGGTCCTTTCGTCGGCGAGGCGCCTCGCTTCTGGCCTGCCTTCCTGGTGCCTCCAGCTGCCTGGCAGGCTGCGTCAAGCCACTGGGCAAAGCGCCGAATCTACCCCATGACATCTCCGAACTGTCTGCGCGCCTTTCTGCTCGGTCCAGCGATGTTCTCGGAAAGACCAGGGCAGACAAGGAAGGCCATGCAGCCAACTTGGACGAGTTCAAGGCCTTTGCCAAGCAGATGTTTGATCGCCAGGCAAATACCGCCACCATGCGATTCTTGCCTTGACTTGAGAAGACTGAGTTTCATTAAGAGCGCCTTCTGGATACTTTTGGACGAACGTTCAGCCACACTCTCTGCAGCACAGGAAGAAGTTCAAGTTTGGGAGACTTTTCCAGTGCCTTCCGCCAGCCAGGGCCATAGTCTGCCCACAGTCCACACCGCAGCCTGTTTCCTGCGCCACGAAAGCTTGCAAAAGACTCTATTGACATGCGCACGTCATTCTCATCTCAAGCAGCGGGTAGGAGGCTAGATCCACAAGCAACTGAGACTGGGACTGAGCCATGGTCATGGCAGCGGCAGTGATGGAAGACGATTGCTGGCATTGTGCTCTTAGGCACCCTGGTATGGGAGAGGAGCCACAAGTCCGGCCTAATGTCCGTGATCAGATACTGTAAGGTCCCCAATGCAAGTCTAGATGAGGGAGACGGCTAGGTAAGGCCAATGATGAATTGGCAACGTGGTCGTGACGGATGTGCCGACGATGAGTGCGCATCCTGCTTTCTCGCCCTGATGCTCTCCGCAGAAGGGCGCTTGGAAAAGAAAGAGTGGGAGAAGCGGCAGAAGACGCTAGCTGATGAGTTGCAGGCCTTTGCCGTCCAGGCGATGACGATGCTGGCATCCTGCGTGTGTAGTTGACGCTCAATCACGGAGTTTCGTAGATGACTTGCATGTCAGGTGCGAGTGCTTTTGCTGACCAAGAATTTGACTAGGTTGGGCAAGGAATGAGAGTGTATAGTGCGCATGCTTCATTGCAGCGTCGAGCGCAAGTTCGCGCGACATGACACTTGGCGCGTAGCGACCTGTGAGGACAACCATGTCCAAATTGGCTGGCTCACAATGTTGCATTATCCTGCACTATAAGCAATCTGGTAGTGCTGGGTTCGTTTGTGCATTCTCCTGAGCCTGAAGCCGCGCAAGCGCAGTCTCAATGCAAAGAGACCGAGTTGGAGATCGGAATGCCAAGATTTTCCCATGCAACCTATTTAACGAGCATTCCTGAGAGCGGAAAAAATCGGCATGCGAGTGTGGCACCGTTTTTTAGGCCCGTGCCGAAATGACTGGGTCAGCTTTGAAGGTACAGCCGACGGAAGGAGACGAAAGAAAGTCATTTCACCACAAACACCAGAGCATCAGCGAATACTGGTGGCCCACATGTCAAGGCGGGTGCGCTCAGTCGGGCTTTGTGATTTTTGCCTCGATAGTCAGCGGCTTTCTTTTTCTCTGCATCAGGCAGTAGAAGCGCAGAACAGCTTGGACACCACATGCCTCCTTCATGCGCAGGGGACGAGGGACCAGCTACAACCGAGTGAGGCAGCGAGCCTCCTTCACAGGCACTGACCCACGTGGACTTTGCAATGCCGCAATTGAATCTAGGATCAGTAGGTTGAGCGTACAGTCCCACTGTGCAAAGGGACATTGTTTCACGCTTGCTGACTTCCTGGTGCCAGGTTGCTCTTGCAGGAAGATGCCCCCCCTTCAATTGATGGCCAGGCCATCGAGCAGGGTTGTCGTAGAGCGGGGGTCACTTCCAACAACGCTCTGAATCAAGCAAGCTCTGCTGTCTCTTTCTCTCTCAAATCATGCGAAACTTCTCAATCAACTAGCCGCCAGTATACGGTTGCTAGCCACCAGACTGACGTTTTGTAAGGGAGCAGCTGGCTATGCACTCTTCCCGCTTGCTGTGACGTTCGACAGCTTTTGGTCAATCATGTGGCTTGCCTGCCAGCCACATGATGCAGCCTGACCATAGCACATAACCCTTGTTCGTGAAGCGCAGGAAGCTTACTACGGTATGAGCGTTCTGAGCTGAACCGAGGCAGCCCATGCTTTTAGCCGAACAGCTGCTCTGCGACCCAAAGTTGCAGAATCGTGCCTGGCCTACTGAAATACTTTCTCGTAGCAGTAGCAGTCTAGCATGTGCCGGTGCAGCGCTGTGTCGCTGTCCGTTCAGCTCACGACACGTTGCAGAGCGACTCTTCGAGCCAGGTCTTGGTGACGGTTCTTCTGCCATGTCCCTGGAGAAGTGGAGCTGGTTTCTCGTCCAGGTGCAGAACGAAGAGCGCCGCTTGGGCAGCAACCAAGAGGCACTCGCAACATCTCGTAACCGAGTACCACAGTTTGGGCACAGGTTGATACCTCCGGTGCTGAGCACTGCCTAGTGATGTCTAGTGACTCTCAGGCGCAGTGGTTGAGGGTGCGGCAGCACAGTTAAAGGGCATGGAGGCCACTTCCGTGAGCTAAACTTGACTAAGCTCCCCCAGTGAGAGGTGCAAAAGTCTGCCTTGACTCAGGCATTGCTGCTTATTACTTGTTGTAAATCTGTTGTGGGCATGGCAGGTTCCCTATGTGGATGAAGAGGGTCAGTTGAGTATTGCGGGGCTTTCTTGCTGCCTCTGCTCACCAAGCAACGGGGCCACTTGGAGAAAGTTGCGCATGACAACACGTGGATCCACTTTGGCCAGCTGTGAAAGTTGCAAGTGGAGATGCTGTGTAATGGAACAAGCTGCCTGCGTAGAGGTCTTCGAGGGAGACTTGCCACCAAGGCGCTGAAACCAGATCTCTACCAGCCAGGTCATGACATGACACGACCCTTGACAGAGTATTGGATTGCCTCGGCCCACCATGTGCTCCCAGAGCTTGCGCCCGACAGCCCGAAAGGCGGGGCATCCGGTCTGGAGTGGTCAAGCTGTGCAACGTGTCCGCACAGCAGCGCTGTGGCAGATCATTAGGAATGATTCGCCGAAGGACCCAGCACAGCGACGCAGGAGGACAACGACAAGGCCAGCCGAAAAAAGAGCCAACTTACTTCTGTTGAGTGTGGGATGTGGTCAGGCCACTTTGCACCCGCATGCCGCAGGACGGCCTCCGTCCCGTCATGAATGCACTGCGCGCGGGATGTCGTTGCATAAGCCTGGCGCTTATGGAGACGGCAACTGAGCTGCAGGCCGGAGAAGTCAGAGCTGCCTAGTCCTA